TTTTTGTTAGGGAATCAACATGCAGGGAAGACAGTGCCTTCTTTTTGTTAGGGAATCAACATGCAGGGAAGACAGTGCCTTCTTTTTGTTAGGGAATCAACATGCAGGGAAGACAGTGCCTTCTTTTTGTTAGGGAATCAACATGCAGGGAAGACAGTGCCTTCTTTTTGTTAGGGAATCAACATGCAGGGAAGACAGTGCCTTCTTTTTGTTAGGGAATCAACATGCAGGGAAGACAGTGCCTTCTTTTTGTTAGGGAATCAACATGCAGGGAAGACAGTGCCTTCTTTTTGTTAGGGAATCAACATGCAGGGAAGACAGTGCCTTCTTTTTGTTAGGGAATCAACATGCAGGGAAGACAGTGCCTTCTTTTTGTTAGGGAATCAACATGCAGGGAAGACAGTGCCTTCTTTTTGTTAGGGAATCAACATGCAGGGAAGACAGTGCCTTCTTTTTGTTAGGGAATCAACATGCAGGGAAGACAGTGCCTTCTTTTTGTTAGGGAATCAACATGCAGGGAAGACAGTGCCTTCTTTTTGTTAGGGAATCAACATGCAGGGAAGACAGTGCCTTCTTTTTGTTAGGGAATCAACATGCAGGGAAGACAGTGCCTTCTTTTTGTTAGGGAATCAACATGCAGGGAAGACAGTGCCTTCTTTTTGTTAGGGAATCAACATGCAGGGAAGACAGTGCCTTCTTTTTGTTAGGGAATCAACATGCAGGGAAGACAGTGCCTTCTTTTTGTTAGGGAATCAACATGCAGGGAAGACAGTGCCTTCTTTTTGTTAGGGAATCAACATGCAGGGAAGACAGTGCCTTCTTTTTGTTAGGGAATCAACATGCAGGGAAGACAGTGCCTTCTTTTTGTTAGGGAATCAACATGCAGGGAAGACAGTGCCTTCTTTTTGTTAGGGAATCAACATGCAGGGAAGACAGTGCCTTCTTTTTGTTAGGGAATCAACATGCAGGGAAGACAGTGCCTTCTTTTTTTAGGGAATCAACGTGCAGGGAAGACAGTTCCTTCTTTTTGTTAGGGAATCAACATGCAAGGAAGACAGTGCCTTCGTATGTTAGGAAATCAACATGCAAGGAAGACAGTGCCTTCGTATGTTAGGAAATCAACATGCAAGGAAGACAGTGCCTTCGTATGTTAGGAAATCAACATGCAAGGAAGACAGTGCCTTCGTTTGTTAGGGAATCAACATGCAGGGAAGACATTGCCTTCTTTTTGTTAGGGAATCAACATGCATGGAAGAGAGTGCCTTCTTTTTGTTAGGGAATCAACATGGAGAAAAGACAACTTCTCATAGAGTTCTCCTTGTTGATGTTTTTATACCGAGACAAATATTCTGTAAAGCTCCCAACAAATATCAATCACAGAAATAGATTTTGTGGACCAATAAGTAGAAACGAAAAAGTAAAATTTTGAGCGAGTTAGGTGGATTCCATAGGATTTAAATCTCTATAAGTGTTTATGAAAACCATTCTCAAGGATATAAATAAAACACTCGCAAACCTGAAATTACACTTAAAAAATGATATTTCGAGGACAAATGTCTGCCATCCTGGATTGCTTCAGCTATTCAAATATTTTTTTTCTGATCGATCATCTGCGAAGAAAGTCTAAAATATCTGAAGGTCTTTCGATCATAAAAAAAATAAACCAGTGCGTTTGCGAGGATTCAACTACCAACAACATCCAGTATACCCTAAATGTACTGAGGTGTACTGAAATATACAGAGGCTGATAAAGCTCCGCCCCTTGAAGGTCGCCAACATTTACATTAATTTGGGATGTATGCCTAGAAGCTAACAATTACCTCGTCAAATAGAGAAGTGTGGGAATATTTTTTTGAAATAAACAAATATAGCTACGTATAAAACATTGATCTGTCTTAATATAGAAAGTTTCTTTTCCTAATAATACACAATATCAACCTTTTAGCCAAGATCAATCGATGTAAACAGTTATAGCCGTGCGGTTTTTGGTATTGTGTTTTACACAATAGACATTCTAGGGATGGTTTGGGGGTAATCTGTAACAAAAACATGTTTATAAGAGTTTCCTGTTTACCAGCTCGCCTTATTTGTACTGGAAGGGTCTCACACAACCTTTGTAGCGCCTGTATATGCGTAGCTCAATGAAAGTTTTATCTTATACAGATGTCATAAGGCACAGCTTAACAGTAATATGCATGTGGTTTATGTGGATTAGGCAGCAGAAGGTGTTCATATATCCTAGATATAGGTTTATATCTTAGACACGTGGCTAAGTAAAAATACCAAAATCCGTCTCTAAACGATAAACTTCTTTTAAATGGGTACTTCTCGTTATAACATGTACAAACTAGTTAAATGCAGAAGTTTATGTTACAAATAGATCCGATTTATTTTCAGTGAGAAACATGCGGTTTTGATTGATGATAAATGTAAGATGCACACATAGGATAGCACCTATAATGTTTAGCAATAAATACAACTTGCCGGAAATGAATTACAGTGCATTCATTGTCATGTCACATAATATTAGTACGTATACGCCATAATTATTTACAGCGAAAATAAAATGTCTGTAAAGTCAGTTTTCTCCTTACTAAAGTTTTTCTTCAACCATCTTCATCTGGTTTTGAAATATGTCGAATCCTTTTCCGAAAGTGGAATACTACCACTATTAACACCTGCTTTTATTATTTTGAACATTTCAAAGGCAATTGCTATTTTCGTTAAGTATGTATTATTTACCTATGCCGTTTTCGTTCTTTTAGCTTTATGGATGTCACAGTATCTGTGCTGTAGCATTCAAGTGAGGTGGCACTATAAATGATACCGATGGAAGCACGGTCTAACTACAAACAGAATATCCTACATCTCCAGCACACACGAAGGCATACACACATAGAGAGATCTTAGCCAGGTGCCATAGGACTAGTAGTCCGCGCCTGATAAGGAAACTCATGCGAATTCCTCAAAAATTGTATTGATTAATGTATATGTACTGTAAAGCGCTTTAGAGTCGCTTATTCTAGCTAGATAAGGCGCTATATCAAATGTGGTGTATGTATTTATTTATTTATTTTATGTATTATTTACATGATTGTGAATTATAGTATACTCGTGAAACCAACCAGGACAGATAAGACATATTTGTATTTCATACGTTTTTTTCACCTTTAATTATGATTATATTTCACCATTATCTATCATACTGATACTCCATCAGGAACAATAAGACAGATTTGTGTTTAACACGTTTTTTCGACATGGTTTTTCATTTGAAAATATGGTAATTATTCACCATTATAGATTAAGTTCGTTAAGGTCAATTCCTGCGTTGCCAGATATAGCCAAATGGTAGATAAATTCATAGTGTAGTGACATCATTTCATGCTTTGCTATTACACTCAACATCAGAAATGGATTAATTAAGACGCATGTATATCATTGTATAACTGATAGCTGTTTATATAAAGGAGTCACACTTCATGATCGCACTATGTAAACACAATGGATATATTGTCAGTTAGTTATTAATAGTTGTATCAGAGTTAGTAACGTCAACCTGTCTGCATACATATTGGTATGCAATGTACTGACAACCTGCTGGCTTGACTAGAAAACCAATAAATAGGGATAATTATCTCCCTCCTCTTTTTTGTTTGTTGACATGATTACCTTCGTTTATTAATTTTATTTCTATCTTACTCTTTATTTCTTCTCCTTTGTTATGAAATTCCTAACAGTTGTAAAATGAAATGCCCAAACTTCCGATACCTTTTTTGTATCCATTTTGTTCATTGTAAGCTGACTATCCTTTCTGTTTTGAGGTACCCTCTGTTTTTGTCGTTGTAATTTCCATCTAAATCCATAAACGATTTGTGTCAGTGTGTGTTGACGCTATAATAAATGTTTGTCTATTTCGTTTATATGTGATAAGGATATGTTTTCAGGTAAGTTGACAGAGCTTGTTTTTACAATTGTTGTAAAAATAAAATGAGGTTTTTTTCATTGATATGTGATATCTAATGAAAATATGTTCTTTCCTTGTTCAACATATGGACCGATTCAAAACGCAAAGTTGTAGGAAGGAACAACAAAGGGAATAAAAAAACCACCAAAGCAGAAATAAAGATACATCGTGAAAACAAATGAAAAAAAAGGAAGAAAAAAAAGAAAAAAAGATGAACTATGAGCTGTATGAGATTTATAGCACTTTGGAAAATCATGTTTCCTCTCTTATGCCTTCAAATATACATAGCAACAATGTAGTGGCAAAACTAATGTGGTAAAACAAATCTAACTGAATGTACTTGAAAGCATTGTCGTCGCATACCGATATGCTAGCGTATTGATTAGTGTCATCTCACTGCCAGTCATGGTCTGCTTCCGCCAAAGTATAACAAATAGTACACAACAACTAAAGTGTGACGTAAACAAGCGTTACCGTGAATCCTAGTGTCTGGTTTGACGTTACAGATTAAATACTTATTTATTTTCCATAATCGAGGTCCTTAAACCGAAATAAAAACAAATACACGAGTAAGTGGGGGTCATGGACCCTGGGCGTGAAATATTTCATGCATGTTTCCTCTACGTGTTTATAAGATATTCTGTTTTAATTACAGATAGGAATTTCGTTGTGACCAAACAACAAACAAAAACAAACACATTATTTTCTCTCTTTGTCCATGGGTGTACTTACTTAAATAACCAACCAATTAATTAACTTGTTTACGAAAGTCTTGAGCAACATGATGGCATGTATAACCATCTTATAAATTCACCCCCGCACAGACCGTAACGCTCGATAGCCTCTGCTAATGATCCTAGGCGAGGGGAAATACGTAAAAACAGACGGTCTGTTATTGAGCACATATATACACTGCGCAAGCTTTCATGGAATGGCGTTACTTTAAACTGTTATTGCACTGGTAGCACGAAGCCCCGCAACGCTTCCTCAATTTAGCTACGTAGCTTTTTATCTACTTTTACAAGATCGAATAAGTGTGTGAATTCTGCCCTGTAACAAGGGATATTTAACTCATGTTAACATTTTTGTTTGGAAAGCCAATCTGTGCGCGAGCTTCGATTCTTTTTGTAACGCCTCAAACAAACGGACAGAATGAGGACTCCGGAGCAACAGGAAGTCGCCGGGAAAGCCGCTGGATATTAGAGTGGGAATAACTAATCTATCTATAGACCTCATTTAAGGTCCATATATAAGCTCTCCGCTATATTCTAAACGCCGGAGACTGCTGCGCTGGAGCGAAGTTGTCGGAATCCCAACCTGTTCGACACGATGACACTAATATCTATCACTATTTTTATTTATGTAATCTGTTGTACTGCCATATATGGTCATCGATGTCCGGAATACCCATCACTGATCAACAATCTTATGGACCATGACTGCTCCAATCAACTTGTAGAGGTTCTACAGGTTTTGTGTTCAGAGCAATCGACAGGTAATTTTTTAATGTCTTATTGATTTCCTGATAAAAGTAAAAACTGAAAATACGGTTAAGTTCAATAATTATATATGTACGTCGTATATGTACCAGATAACATTGATTTGTCCATGTTTCTTGATGTTCAACCCGAAAATGTAGTATTACAGCTGACAAACAAATGTCAGCATTAAAAGTATACCATATTATTATTGTTTTCTAAAAAGTGCTAGTATTTGAAAACTGTATGTCATAAATGTTAAAAATTTATATTTATATCAAATTTAAAAATACGAACAATAAACAAAAAAGACAAAACGTTTATGAACATATTTCATTTTTGATACGCTTTATAGAGCTTTATGAATACAAAAATGAAAAATTAATGACATGGTGACAATTTGATCTTTCATACTTTCGTATGTTTTGTATTTAATACTCTTATTCCTTTAATTGATCCCATAATTCTTAATTGATTCCATAATTCTCAATTGATCCCATAATTCTTAATTGATTCCATAATTCTTAATTGATTCCATAATTCTTAGTTGATTTCATAATTCTTAATTGATTCCATAATTCTTAATTGATTCCATAAGAAATTGTCAACATTATCTATTTCTACCATTCGGACAACATCGGTAGGTTTATTGTTTAGTAATACTACTGATCATATAGTGCTATATAACAAACCTGACTCCCGTCAACAGTTTGTTACCTCAACTATTCAGAACAAACAAATAGACATATTATCTAGGAATTTAACTGGTTATTAACGTAATCTATATCTCCTGTTAGGAACAAACGATAGAGTTATATAGTACAACCAGGAGGTTTTCATTATTATTTTTCTTTGATATCATATCAAACCTACATTCTAAACTGAAAAACAAACGTACACGGATTTTTCTTTCAGATGAATGTGCGTCATAAAAACAACCAAACATTTTGATTGGTCATATTAAAAGAAAGATACTACTTAGAAATTTAAAAAAATAATTCCTCTGTGGTCATCTTTTTTAATGTGTAATTTTATGGAAGCATATACCGAGAAACCCTTGCTTACGAACCTCAACTCTCTCTCATAAAAAAAAACATGACAATTACTCAATAGTTCAGGGAAACAAATATTGCCTAATCATGATGGATACTTTTATTATACAAACGACATCTCGCATTTTTTTTCTGTATACATATTTATATATAAGAAATGTCTTAATGTAAAAGTAAATGTTCTAATCAAACTGTCAGATAAAAAGAACACGGTGTATATTAATATTTTATGATGATATAAATATGATAGCATGATTTTTGACAGGATACATCGTGCCATGTTCCGCATGTGTCTTTATCAATCACAAAATATGTTTCTGTGATCCAGATATAGTTATATATATATCCCCATTTATTAGTGTGTTTATCACACCTAAGTAGATATAAAACTCCGTACATCTAGTTCAAGTTCAACCTTAACACTTGTGTGACCATAATATCAATAAAGAGCTAACCGACCAGGACGCCTAATCACCTATTAATGTCAAATTTAAATCCCGTACATTTCTTAAATACGATAACTAAAAAAACGGATACATTATTGGAATCGGAATAATCACCACCAAACAAAAATATGACCGCGTTTATATGGTGAGATCAATTCAGATTTTTGTTTTCATTTTGACTTAATGCAACATTAACCAAATTAAACTTTATACTATCAAGTTTGGAAAGGTGACATTCACAAGTTAATAAATCGCGATGTATAGGAATGTATAATCAGTTAAATTGTATTTTTATATTTCGACTAATGCGAGCCATCAAAGGGATCAGTTCCCGTAGCTAGTAGATCGCTCACTCAAATTACTAATGCATGTTAAGCTTATTAGAACATGGATTAAAGAAGGCCAATAAAGAAACGTTCATATCGTGCGTTGAAATCTTCGCTATCTAAATACTCACTAGAATCAGTGTTCATCGTAATAAATTAAATTACTGAATAACATGTGTGATAATTGTAGATGACTTAACAAAACAACCATGGAGAGATAAACATTAGAATATACACTTCTTATGACACCACTTCTTATGACACGATTGTGTATATTATCTAGGTTATGCCTGCTAAGCAGTAAATGGGCTACCTATTTAATGTTGACCTAGCTACTATATCATCCCGAGTTTTTCCTATAAAGCGATTGAACTAACTATTTAATGTTAAGCTAGCTACTATATCATCCTGAGTTTTTATCATTAAGCGATTGAGCTGCCTATTTAATGATTAGCTAGCTACTATATCACCGTGAGCTTTTACTATTAAGCGATTGAGCTAACTATTTAATTTTAAGCTAGCTACTATATCATCTTGAGGTTTTTTTTATCAAGCGATTGAGCTGCCTATTTAATGATTAGCTAACTACTATATCACCGTGAGCTTTTACTATTAAGCGATTGAGCTTCCTATTTAATGTTTAGCTAGCCACTATATCATCCTAAGTTTTTACTATTTAGCGATTGAACTGTCTATTTAATGTTAAGCTAGCTACTATATCATCCTGAGCTTTTACTATTAAGCGATTGAGATGCCTATTTAATGTTTAGCTAGCTACTAGCTACTATATCATCCTGAGTTTTTATTATTAAGCGATTGAACTGTCTATTTAATGATTAGCTAGCACACTATATCACCGTGAATTTTTACTATTAAGCGATTGGGCTAACTATTTAATTTTAAGCTAGCTACTATATCATCTTGAGGCTTTTTTATTAAGCGATTGAGCTGCCTATTTAATGTTTAGCTAGCCACTATATCATTCTAAGTTTTTACTATTTAGCGATTGAGCTGCCTATGTAATGTTAAGCTAGCTACTATATCATCCTGAGCTTTTACTATTTAGCGATTGAGCTGCCTATTTAATGTTTAGCTAGCTACTATACCATCCTGAGTTTTTACTATTAAGCGATTGAGCTGCGCATTTAATGTTTAGCTAGCCACTATATCATCCTAAGATTTTACTATTTAGCGATTGAGCTACATATTTAATATTTAGCTAGCTACTATATCATCCTGAGCTTTTACTATTAAGCGATTGAGCTGCCCATTTATTACTAAACTAGCTACTATATCATCCTGAGTTTGTTAACTATTAAGTGATTGAGCTGCCTATTTAATGTTAAGCTAGCTACTATATCACCATGAGCTTTTACTATTAAGCGAATGAGCTGCCCATTTCATGTTTAGCTAGCCACTATACCATCCTGAGTATACTTACTATGAAGTCATTCAGTGGTCCATTTCATTTTTCTGAACCACCATTTATATCTCTCATCAAATATGATATTTTGTTTAGAAATCAAAGTCTTTATTTTGTGAATTATATCGTAATGGCAAATATCAAATATTATAATGTTTTGATATATTTACCTTATATTGGATCGAAAATGTTTTAAATCTGCATCAGTAAGGGAAGTTAGTGTTGTTGTACACAACAACGGGCCAACACTTTACAGATGATTCAACAAATCTCTCATTCCACTGATCCCATATGTTAGCTTCGACACTTCAGCTGTTATTATGTGGACATCATTTTGGCGATAATGGTACAATAAGAGATATGTAGATATTATGAGAATATAATATTTATGAATATCAAGCCATGATGACATAACAATAACTTGTAATAAACAGCCGAAAACACCCGAAGGCAGTTACTTGCAAGAAACCACATTTATTCCCAGAGAACTATACGGTTTTAAATTAGCAATATAGATGTGTATATCTGAGTGTGTGTTTCATTTCAATGACATTGTTTAGATAAATCAATTCTATTTACCTTCGAATTTTCTCTTGTGTATAGTTAAGTTATCATAAAATATATTTATTATGAAAAATATAGACAATTTTCAACACACACGTTCCAAACACGTTTATCCATCTAAATCTTCAAAGATAGAAGAATGGTTATGAATGTTTTACCCCATTTCACGTTGCAATCGAAAATTCTGGGCACTTTCAGCTGTTTAATTATTAACGTTCGTTTGCTCTTGATATCAACACAATATCGATCCATCGAGCTAGGTGGAATACCTCTCTAAGTATAACCGTATTATTACTCCAATCCCTTATAGAATGTTTTTACATTGGATCGGAATGACCTCGACCTGCACACGTGCCAAAGTCGTCTATGATTATAAAAACAGGCGTATGTATATGTTTTTAATGTATTAAGGGCCACAGGTGTTTAATATCTGACATTTATTACAAGCAGTGGATCGAGGAGGTCCTATATTTTATGATTTACACACATAAGTAAAGTAAGGTTTTCAGTGCAGATTACTTACTATTTGACAGCTATTTATTAGTGTGCACAATCATTATTGCCAGGTTCGTCACATTCCTTGTTTGTATTCGTGCTATTTCTTATAAAAAATAAAATTCAAACGGCAGATGATGATCTGTTTCACTGTTGTTTGCTTTGATTTTTTAACAGAGGCGTCAAAGTTGAGGTTTTAATTTGATCTAGTTGTTTTGTTATGTTAGAACACTGCTCATAATTTTGATTCGCGTTTGTAATTTAATGACCTTTTGAGGGGTAATGCCGTATAATTTGTCAATCAGTTATCAATTAGTATTGTTACGCATTGAAATATTTAAGTGAAGGGGAAACTTAATTATTAACACGCTAACTAAGCAGGAAACATCACAAACTTTGTCCAAAACGTTGTTCTTATAAGCGAGGCAATTTAGAAATAAAAGAAACATTTGGTACAAAATTAGTATTTTGTGTACACTGTGAAAAAATTGGTGATTTTGGGTAACTTTCAATTACTTATTTAACTCTTATTTCGATATTTTATCAACAGGTACGGTGGGGAGCCATGGTCGTGTCAAGCGTGACCAGGCGATGACAAATCTCGTGTGTGACTGCTGTATACGGAGCTGTAGTGTCCAGAAACTTCAAGAATACTGCTGGCTGACGTAGTGGCATGTGCGCCATCGACCGGAACCGGATGTGGAGAGTGTGAATATGAACTAATTTGTTTTACAAGTAATGACACGATGATAATGTGATCTATCAAGAACAAAGACATTTAACCAGAAAAGGAAATATAAGAGATCGAACAGTGTAGGAGAGCTGACGAGAATTATATGAACGGTGCTGAAAGTCTAGGAGAAAAAATGCTGAAAACCTGGCAAGGATATCATAACATTAAAACATTACAAAAAGTGCTTCTGCCATCTCAAATTAAAGAACGTGATGTTATAATATATATACACGTATGCTTATTTTCATTATCACATGCTTTCAATAGAAACATTATCTTGTTAACCCGTCGGTCAACATTGACAAACTCCGATTATCATAAGCATGGCATTTAATCATGGAAATGGTCTGTTTTGTGTATTTTGTTGTTGTTATAGTCGGAAAAATACTCTTAGAGTTTTCTGATGTTTTTAAATTATATCAATATACCCGAATCATCTACAGTGTGATTTTTATTTTAATTCACTATCATCATTCTAATCGTTATTAGTATAAAAACAAGGCGATTCATAACATAGATACAGAATAAACCGGCAAAATGGTAAGATAAACGTTTGCGTTACGCAACTGTACGCACAGGTTTCTAGACTAAACGAGGTTGGATATAGACAGGTAACAGGGATATAAGCGAATGTCGCATTTATACANCTGTCGCATTTATACAAGTTTCTAGACTAAACGAGGTTAGATATAGACAGGTAACAGGGATATAAGCGAATGACGCATGTATACAGGTTTCTAGACTAAACGAGGTCTGACATAGACAGGCAACAGTATATGTGTTGTTTTCTACAGGTTTCCAGACAAAGATAGTTCGAGAAAACACCAGGTTAAATCTGTATCTATACCATTGTGATAAGCCGATGAAAATTTTACTTCATCACTGGAATTTCAAATTTAATCCAAAGACTCCCAACCCTTCCATACCGTATTTAATATTCAGGATTTTTCACAGTTCTAAATAACATCAAGTGATGATGCGGCACCCCATCCTTATTTTACGTTTCGTATTATATTGCAATCAAATATCAAACTCGCAGTGTTTAATCAGATTTTTTCAATGGGTGTCATTAAAGAGGTGAATTTTCTCATTATTGACCGATTAGGCCAGATACTGCTCCTTTCTTAAAATAAAAACATTCTGTGCCGTTTCTGATTTAATTGCTAGAGACACATTTAATGAATGATTCTATGTAGTCCAGCACAGTTATAATAGTAAAAACACAACAACGTATATCTCTTAACATGGCAGCAAACAAACGTTTACATACAAAAATAATTATACATCAATCTTTAAAAGACTACTCCTCAAACACTGTCCAAGATATTTTAATTTGACATGGATTAACCCTGAACCAATAAACTTCATTGTTGTATATATCAGCAAGCACTTGCAGCTCAAGATGTTGCTTTCACAAAAATGCAACGAACAGAAAATGTAATGGATTCCTATAAAATATCACAAAAAGTCCATTCATGTAACAGAACGCTTGGATAAATGTATTGGTATTCAGACTCATTCTCAAATGAAACCTACAGCACTCCCGCCGGGTCACCATTCTGATGTGCTAACAAGTATATCTTTACACCGCCAAATGAAAACCTACAGCACTCCCGCCGGGTCAACATTCTGATGTGCTAAGAAGTATATCGTTACATCGCCAAACTGAAAACCTACAAAAAAAAAACGCCGGGTCACAATTTTGATGTGCTAAGGAGTATATCTTTACCCCTCCAAACAGAAAGCCTACAAAAAAAAACGCCGGGTCACAATTTTGATGTGCTAAGGAGTATATCTTTCCTCCGCCAAACTGAAAACCTACAACACTCCCGCTGGGTCACCATTCTGTTGTGCTAAGGAGTATATATTTACACCGCCACACTGAAAACCTACAACACTCCCGCTGGGTCACCATTCTGTTGTGCTAAGGAGTATATATTTACACCGCCACACTGAAAACCTACAACACTCCCGCTGGGTCACCATTCTGTTGTGCTAAGGAGTATATCTTTACGCCGCCAAACTGAAAACCAACAGCACTCCCGCCGGGTCACCTTTCTGATGTGCTCAGAAGTATATCTTTACACCGCCAACCTGAAAACCTACAACACTCCCGCCGGGGCACCATTCTGTTGTGCTAAGGAGTATATATTTACACCGCCACACTGAAAACCTACAACACTCCCGCTGGGTCACCATTCTGTTGTGCTAAGGAGTATATATTTACACCGCCACACTGAAAACCTACAACACTCCCGCTGGGTCACCATTCTGTTGTGCTAAGGAGTATATCTTTACACTGCCAAACTGAAAACCTATAAAAAAAACGCCGGGTCACAATTTTGATGTGCTAAGGAGAATATCTTTACACCGCCAAAATGAAAACCTACAACACTCCCGCCAGGTCACAATTCTGATGTGCTAAGAAGTATATCGTTACATCGCCAAACTGAAAACCTACAAAAAAAAAACGCCGGGTCACAATTCTGATGTGCTAAGAAGTATATCTTTAGACCTCCAAACTGAAAACCTACAACACTCCCGCCGGGGCACCTTTCTGATGCGCTAAGAAGTATATCTTTACACCTCCAAACTGAAAACCGACAACACTCCCGCCAGGTCACAATTCTGATGTGCTAAGGATTATATCTTTACACCGCCAAACTGAAAACCCACAACACGCCCGCCGGGTCACCATTCTGATGGGCTAAGGAGTATATCTTTACACCTCCAAACTGAAAACCTACAAAAAAATACGCCGGGTCACCATTCTGATGTGCTAACAAGGATATCTTTACACCGCCAAACTGATAACCTACAACATTCCCGCCGGGTCACCTTTCTGATGTGCTAGGAAGTATATCTTTACACCGCCAAATAGAAAACCTGCAACACTCCCGCCGGGTCACCATTCTTATGTGCTAAGAAGTATATCTTTACTCCGCCAAACTGATAACCTACAACATTCCCGCCGGGTCACCTTTCTGATGTGCTCAGAAGTATATCTTTACACCGCCAACCTGAAAACCTACAGCACTCCCGCCGGGTCACAATTCTGATGTGTTAAGGATTATATCTTTACTTCGCCAAACTGAAAACCTACAACACTCCCGCTGGGTCACCATTCTGTTGTGCTAAGGAGTATATCTTTACACTGCCAAACTGAAAACCTACAGCACTCACGTCGGGTCACAATTCTGATGTGCTAAGGAGAATATCTTTACTCCGCCAAACTGAAAACCTACAGCTCTCCCGCCGGGTCACCTTTCTGATGTGCTCAGAAGTATATCTTTACACCGCCAACCTGAAAACCTACAACACTCCCGCTGGGTCACCATTCTGTTGTGCTAAGGAGTATATATTTACACCGCCACACTGAAAACCTACAACACTCCCGCTGGGTCACCATTCTGTTGTGCTAAGGAGTATATATTTACACCGCCACACTGAAAACCTACAACACTCCCGCTGGGTCACCATTCTGTTGTGCTAAGGAGTATATCTTTACACCTCCAAACTGAAAACCGACAACACTCCCGCCAGGTCACAATTCTGATGTGCTAAGAAGTATATCTATACACCGCCAAACTGAAAATCGACAACACTCCGTGATCCGTCGGGTCACAATTCTGATGTGCTAAGAAGTATATATTTACACCGCCAAACTGAAAACCCACAACACGCCCGCCGGGTCACCATTCTGATGGGCTAAGGAGTATATCTTTACACCTCCAAACAGAAAGCCTACAAAAAAAAACGCCGGGTCACAATTTTGATGTGCTAAGGAGAATATCTTTACTCCGCCAAACTGATAACCTACAACATTCCCGCCGGGTCACCTTTCTGATGTGCTCAGAAGTATATCTTTACACCGCCAACCTGAAAACCTACAGCACTCCCGCCGGGTCCCCATTCTGATGTGCTAAGGAGTATATCTTTCCTCCGCCAAACTGAAAACCTACAGCACTCCCGTCGGGTCACCTTTCTGATGTGCTAAGGAGTATATCTTTCCTCCGCCAAACTGAAAACCTACAAAAAAAAACGCCGGTCACAATTCTGATGTGCTAAGAAGTATATCGTTACATCGCCAAACTGAAAACCTACAAAAAAAACGCCGGGTCACAATTCTGATGTGTTAAGGATTATATCTTTACTTCGCCAAACTGAAAACCTACAACACTCCCGCTGGGTCACCATTCTGTTGTGCTAAGGAGTATATCTTTACCCCTCCAAACAGAAAGCCTACAAAAAAAAACGCCGGGTCACAATTCTGATGTGTTAAGGATTATATCTTTACTTCGCCAAACTGAAAACCTACAACACTCGCGCCGGGTCACCATTCTGATGTGCTAACAAGGATATCTTTACACCGCCAAACTGATGACCTACAACACTCCCGCGGGGTCACCATTCTGATGTGCTAAGGGGTATATCTTTACACCGCCAAACTGATAACCTACAACACTCCCGCCGGGTCATCATTCTGATGTGTTAAGAAGTATATCTTTACACCGCCAACCTGAAAACCTACAGCACTCCCGCCGGGTCAACATTCTGATGTGCTAAGAAGTATATCTATACACCGCCAAACTGAAAATCGACAACACTCCGTGATCCGTCGGGTCACAATTCTGAAGTGCTAAGGAGTATATCTTTACACTGCCAAACTGAAAACCTACAAAAAAATACGCCGGGTCACCATTCTGATGTGCTAACAAGTATATCTTTACACCGCCAAACTGATAACCTACAACATTCCCGCCGGGTCACCTTTCTGATGTGCTCAGAAGTATATCTTTACACCGCCAAACTGAAAATCTACAACACTCCGGGATCCGTCGGGTCACAATTCTGATGTGCTAAGAAGTATATCTTTACACCGCCAAACTGAAAACCTACAACACTCCCGCCGGGTCACCATTCTGTTGTGCTAAGGAGTATATCTTTACACCGCCACACTGAAAACCTACAACACTCCCGCCGGGTCATCATTCTGATGTGCTAAGAAGTATATCTTTCAGGGTAAGAGCATTTTATTTCGGTGACAGATTTATAAATTAAGAACGATTTATTTATTGCAGTTTTATAGGGAATAAAGCTGTCCTATGTAAAAACAATCAAAACTACGACAATTGCTTATTCATAGGATACAAAGTTAGGTAATTGTTGCAATTTTGGGATATAATTGTTTTAACCCTTATCTATTACCTTACTTTCCTACCTCGCAAAACATTTCATTTTGGTATGTTCAATTATAAGAACCACAAGCAGCAGTCCCATAGTTTCATCCTGCGTTGACTGTCTCACACAGAGACGATGATGCTGAGTTGGTATGGCTTTGTTACGTTTGACGTTGTGGATCGTAGTGAACCTGAAACATTTTATAAAATAAGTTTCGAATCACACCAAAGATTGCTTACATGGTGAGGAAAATCATGTAAAACTACCGGTTTCACAAATAATTTTAACGTTTTTAAAGAACCTACTTCATGCAGCAAATTAGAAACATCAGCTTATATTTTTTAACATTTACATTTGTTCGGCATTTAAGTTCTGTACTGTAGTATCGTATATATAGACAGACTATCTTTATGTCATCACCAAAAAGGTTTTGCTCAGTCAAAGTCAATTATAATCACACTGTCTTATTAATACATAAATGATTACAATATGTAAGGATTCTCCCATATTTACCTGGAGATGACACACGGGATCAGTATAAGGTTCTCCACTTGCCAAGTAAAGAAGTATACTGATTTTATTCATTTTTTTCCAAACACTGATACGTTTGTATGTGAAATAGAATACAGAGCGGATGACCGAGAGATACATTTATCAATATTATTTAAAACATATCTATAAGGCACTATAATCTACTCCGGTGAATTGGAAATTACAATGGATGGTAGTATGTCGTTTTATTTAGTCTGGTATCCAACTTTTACCATAAAAAATATCGAACCCCTTTATTAAACATTTCCAACAGACATTTCGGAAAGTTTTAAGCTATCTTAAGTTACTGGGACAACTTTCTATCATTCATTATACCGTTGAATAGATAGCATAAAAGTTAAGGAATTTTGCAGCTCCTCTCAAATTCAAAGAGGCGGCGTTTGGTTTCACCTGCGTGTTTTTCTTCATCCTTAACTCATTCACCCCTGGAATTTCATAACGAACTATTCCAACCATTGAATCGGAAGAGTTCAAATGTGTCTTCAGGGGTGAATGATTTAATGTAGAAAAGCATGCTGTAATACATGTAGATTGGATAAGGAGAAATTGAAACTACTCGGGAATAACTTCCGAACAAGATGTTATGAGGTAACAAGACCAAGAAACCACGGATAAACAGAGACATACAGAAAATCATCCGACGGCAGAAGACACTGCCTAAGAGACAGGTTGACTCCAGGAAACCTGCAGACATTGACTCATACATCAAGACCAAAGCAGAGAAGTAGAAGGGGGCTTTCCAGACCCACTGAAAATATGTAGAGGGAGTCATATAGGTTGTGAATATAATGGGTGGTCTTTTAAACAGAAACGCTTCTGCAGCTACATCAGATCATATATTGCATCTCTACAGGCCAAAGGGATACTGTTATTGGAACCTGTGGACAAGGCAAACGTACTGAATTGCCAGTACCATTTCGTGTTCACGAGGGAGGACGAGTCAGACTTTTCAAGGCCAACAGAGGAGCCATTCCTAATAATGACGGATATAAAAAAGCACCATAAAGAGTTTCCGAACTACTTGCTAATGTTCATCCCTAGAAGGCTTCAGGTCGAGATCTCATTCCGGCGCAATAAATCAAGGAAACAACAGGGGAGTTCGTGTTCCTTTCCAACTATATTTTGTGTTCTCCTCCAACTATCAATTGGAAGACTGCGAATGAATCACGTCTGTATGAAAGGAAAACGTTTCAAAGCCAGCCAATACCGCCCAGTCTCACTCGCCTGTTTATGTTGTAAGATCCAAAAATAAATACTCGTGAGTTTCGTTATGAGGAACTTGAAGGACGACCAGAGCAGGGCTTCGACCAACGACCTGCCTTGTTGTTGTGTCTGCTGGGATGAAGATAATGCTTGGGTCTATTACGATATGATGGTGTATACTTTTGTAGATATGTTTGGTACAAATCAGGCGCGTAGCTACCATGTAAGCCAATAAGCCCGGGCTTGCACATGATTTTGACAAGTATAGGTTTTCATAATGTTTTTATCCTTGCTGATACTATAAAGTGGAGTTTAAGTTTTGAATATATAGTATACATATGTAATTCCTCAGATATGATACATTGTTAATAGTTAGTGGGGCAACCTCGCTTTTCGAAATGCCCAACAAATAACAGGAGCAAGTATAAGGAACCAGTCACAAAGCACAAACAGAAGACGAAACTGTGTGGGAGACTGAGTAAAGGTGACAGTGGGGGTAACATCGCTTCCCAATTAACTCGGATCAGATTATGAGTAAGACAAACCCAATTGCATGTTNCAAGCTACGCACCTGCAAATGTATGTAGTCTACGTATTTTTAATGAGGGCCAGTCCGGCTAGTGTGTATCGTGCTGCTCTGCGTTGTGGTGAATAGTGTTGTGTTGTGTCGGTCCCATGAAGTGTGTCGGTCCCATGAAGAGCAGCTTTCCATTATGTGTGTTACTATTGTTTGCCATACTTCTTCTTTTATATCAGTATCGAGGATTGGGAGTTTATTTTCAGGTTGTATTTTATAAAATCCTTATGATTTGTTTGCATTGGAGACGATGTTGTTAACGCGTGTCCCATTTGAGACATTAAAGCCAGTTTGGTCTCTGTGGAGTATAACATATAGCATAGATATGCAGTGCCAAAGTTTGGAAATGCTTTTATTTTGATGCGTATTCCTATATTATATTTATTAATCAGACTTCAGTGGCGGATCCAGAGGTTTTTTGGGGGGGCTTCAGGAAACCCCCCACCCTGATAATTTTCTTTAAAAATCATGTATTTTCACCACTTTCCTCAATCACCCCACCCCCACCCCCAGATAGGTCTCTTGATCCGCCACTGGACTTGTTATCATCGAACTATAACTAGATCAAGATTTCAAGAAATAGGAAAAGGGTAAATATATACATGCGGTATAATTTTCTTTTAATTGCATTTTAAGTGCATATATAACATGTAACATAAACTCAATTAAACTACAGTGTATCCTTATGGTACACAATTTGTCATGTTATTATGTAAGTATATACCTCCTCAACTATATCACATAGGTATAATATATAATATATAAAAAAAGCCAGCAAAGTCATGGAAAGTTAGGGTGATATCATCAAGGAATTGTATTAGATTGTTATCTAAGTCCGTGATATCATTAAATCATTATTACTTGAAACACAGGCTTCTATATCCCAATTTATTATAGGTATAATTTCTGAAAAAGCCGGTAAAGTCTTGGAAAGTCAGTATGATATAATTACTCTCCTAATTCCATGCGTGTAAGAAAGACAACCCCTACTTTCGCTTTCGCCGAGTGTTCGGAATTCTCGGGTTTTAACCCAACTTTGAAATAAGTGTTTTCCTTACATTCGGACTACTCTAGACTCTCCTTCGTCGTTTAGAATTCCAGTAAAATGTCGCAGCTAAAGGTATTGACTCTCAACTGCTGGTACGTATATAGCACACATGTAAAGACAACACATGGATATACATCATAGAAATGTGTAATTATACACTATTTACAATAGCTAACTGCTAAGCATAAAGGTTACCAATTTTCTGGAGTTACAATCTATTGAAGTTGCACAGAACATGCCGGTGTACACATGAATCTTGGGTTAGGGAGGTAAATACAAACGTTTGTGGTTCACTGACCAGTGTCTTACTAATTTTACAAAGTGGATGCATATCAATGTACCAAATACTTCATTTTAGTTACCTATGTTTGTCCATGGTAACTGGTGTCAATGAAATAGTTGGCTTTTGATTTAATATGTTGTTTATGCATTGGGCGCCTGTGGTTTATGACAGGTGTCATGTTTACTTTTATGTTAACGTTTGAAACTCTGCTAAGTAATATAATAGTTGAATTGCTGATGTGGCATCGTTAAAAGGTAGTTCAAGCTTGTGGTGATGCATCATTGTTATTTCGTTCACTCGCGACTTACTTTTCCGGTTGCACACTTATTATTTCCTTAATCATAATAGTGTAGCAATGTCTATAGTAATAATGGGATTTAAAAATTTAAAACAATTGCACTCGTTTGTTCACATACATGTAGATAAAAGGGTTGAGCCCTTCCGTTGTAGAGTTTACATAAAAAAAATAGTACCCCACCTCTAGTCTAAAAAACATTTGCTGAAACTATAACATTGTTCAATGGAAGGCAGAACAGCAGCTAAAGAGATTTATCTTTAAACCTGCATATTAACATGTGAAACACTATAATCCAGGTGAAAGTCAAAAGCATGTCGTCAATTTTTCAAACCCCCAAGCCGCCGGGGTTTGATCTGTAAACACTTTGTTCACTTCCGGTGCTTCCCCATGCATGAAAGCATTCTGGGAAATTGAGGCCGCATACCGTCTACAAAAATATGGTAATTAAACCCTATGGTATCGGTATTTATTACAGTTGACTAATAAAATATCACGAAAGCTCCATTTGATAAAAACATATTTTCATAGCAGTGAAGAGAACGAAACATTATATGTTCACAAGTAAAAACGTCACTTTTAGTATTGTCCAATCTGAACGGTACATTTTATTCTCTGCTTAGATTTTCAGTTTCAAGTTTAGATGAAGTGACGGCAGACTAACTGGTTGTGTTGTCTACCTAAGTTGCAGCATACATTATGGTTTTTACATATATATATATATAACTACACAATTAATATCATTTTTGTCTGGAAATCTTACCAGATAATACTAGCAAATGGCAAAATTGCAGTGAAAACCCATTCAAAATTGCGCTCTGTATTGTTGTCAAGCATGATGTCATTACAACTTGGTGTCAAAAACTACGCAACATATTCCCATGCTTTTTTGATGTCGCAATATTTGCGGAGTGTGACGTGAAAAAATGTAAGAAATAGAAAATTTCATTATTTTCCCGTTCAATACGATATAACTATTTCACTTGTATGAAACAGAGATGTGATAATAACCAAAAAAACAGTGTTGTGGCAAAATATGTCTTCGTAACAGTCTCAAGAAGTAACAACTATTATTCCACGGGGCGATGGGTTATGATTGACGCTTTAATCTAGCTAGAAGATTTTGACATTTTATCCAAAATAGTCAAATGGGTAAATTGTCAAAAGAAATATTTGCAAAAATTGTTGTGATTTTGACAAAAGGTATAAATGATATTTTATGTAAATCATCTTTTGTCCTGGCTTCTTTCTCTCTGAAGATGTCCTTATTACCAAATCGTTGACATTTAGGCCAAAATGTATGTGCGGTTAAAACTACATTTGCGTGCTGTAGGTCACTTATTGAGTGACAACAGTGCAAAATGTAAGGATATTGAGTGTGAACGGAATATTCTGAACGACAATATTAATGCCATTAACAATTTATATTACAATTATAATTAAATAGAATCAAGTATGTAGGATCCGTTCCCTCGTGGTTGATGGACCGTCAGTAAGTCGTTTTCATAAAAAAAAAGGTTTGGTGCCCAGCAGCTTTGCTGCATTTTCTTGTTAGAAATTGGAACTGGCTTCCTCAATCTGGTCCTAATTGTCCTAGCTGATGTATACAGTTCCATTTAGGTTATATGAATAGATGTCATAGTTTTATGTATTGGTATATTTACCATCAATATTTCGCAAACCTCTGTGACTCGGTCAGTATACACAGCAAAACACCTTCTTGATTCCTTAATAGTAAAAAGACCAACCTCTTAGAGCTAGTGTCCATTTTCAATAGAAAAAAATCTGGCTAATTATAATGTCGTATTAAACATTTAAACAAGGAGACTAAAAAAAAGACAAATTTGAGAAAAATCTGGTTCAACAAATCAGTTGCGGTAACTGCGCTTGTTAGGAGTGCATTTCAGTATTGTTTATAGTAATTCTGTACTTTTGGATATTTTATAATTTTTCCTGTGTCAGCAAGATTTTGTTTATCTTTATAGGGGTGTACCTGCCCCTGTAGCATGCCAGCTTCGCATGGAAAGGATGACCGCTATAGGTGACCGCCTGAAACGAGGAGATTACGACGTAGTCATTCTACAAGAGGTCAGTTATAATTGGCAAAATTTTGAACAGATCTTTCTAATGAATACTAAAGGTTAGTTACATACACTTCATTTCTTAATGTCAAATTCATGAGAAATTAAAGGAAATCTAATAGAAATAGCTGTGCGATAGTATCGTATATATGATATCAGATATAATGAATGTGAGTTAAGTTGTTTAGTATTGGTATAGAAATGCATGTTTTAGCTGGACTCGATGATCAAAATCTGAGAATATTTTCTCAAGATCAGTTCAAAAATTGGAATGAAAATGTATATTTGCTCACAAGGCCATTTTGTGATGAGGTCACTTTCCATTGAAACACATTGTTATAAAAAAGGTTCTAGTTACTTAAGCTTTGGGATACAATGTTAGCTTTAGGTGATAGTTGTATTTTTTTGCAAAAATAACAGGTTTTGGGACATTTTCATATAATGTTGTGCAAGTGTTTGACAATGCTTCACTTAGTTCTATATTATATGAGCTGTCACAAGGTCAAATGTATTTCCATAGGATACAATAAGTGCAACCCATTTAAAAATACATTTTTAATGCACAATTTCAGAATTTAAAAATTGCAATTGTACATTTCATTTGAGTTTTTACATTATAATCTCAATGGACCACTGTCAGATGCATATTTTGATGTTGTCCAGATGGCTGCTTCCTTATAAACCACAATATATGTAAAAAAGAGTGATAATGCTTACAATCAAATAAAAAGTATAATGAGAACAATAATGAGAGTTTAAGTTATGACTTGTCATCAAATATATCATCCTCCATATTCAGGGGTTACGCTCACCCACGCTAGAGAGCATAGGTCTGCAAGTAAGGGACCATTTGACCTTAATCTAAAACATAACCCTCCAACATGTCAAGATGTTGAAAATTTTTGAGAGTTTTGGTGTTGACAAACATGTACATTGACAAGAAGAATAAATATAACAACAGTATACATATACAGGCTCAAAACAGTATTCAGAGATTATTTTTANCATCAGAACTTGACTTTAAGCTTGAAATAGTTTTTCAAAATGGCGGCCGTGTCAGCCATATTGAATTTCTGATAGACCCGCAAAATAACAACACTTTGTCAGGACCATGAGTTGATCGTTCCTACAAAGTTCCAGTTAAATCGGCCTAGCAGAACTTGACTTTTAAGTTTGAAATAGTATTTCAAAATGGCGGCCATATTGGATTTCTGATCAATCCGAAAAATAGCAACACTTTGTCAGGACCATGAGTCGATCATTCCTACCAAGTTTCAGTTCAATCAGCCCAGCAGAACTTGACTTGAAGTTTGAAATAGTTTTTCAAAATGGCGGCCGTGGCGGCCATATTGGATATCTGATCGACCCGCAAAATAACAAAACTTTGTCAGGACCATGAGTCGATCATTCCTACAAAGTTTCAGTTAAATCGGCCTAGCAGAACTTGACTTTAAGTTTGAAATAGTTTTTCAAAATGGCGGCCATGGCGGCCTTATTGGATTTCTGATTGACCCGAAAAATAACAACACTTTGTCAGGACCATAAGTCGATCCCAGCAGAACTTGACTTGAAGTTTGAAATGTAAAATGTTAACGGACGACGCACGACCCAAAAAAGAGTGATAATGCTTACAATCAAATAAAAAGTATAATGAGAACAATAATGAGAGTTTAAGTTATGACTTGTCATCAAATATATCATCCTCCATATTCAGGGGTTACGCTAGTCCGAATTATTCTAACGTTTTATCAACTTTTTTCATATCGGTCTGTCGTCGGTTAATCGGTTAATTCGGACTAGGGTTACGCTCACCCACACTAGAGAGCTTAGGTCTGCAAGTAAGGGACCATTTGACCTTAATTTTAAACGTAACCATCCAACATGTCAAGATGTTTTGGTGTTGACAAACATGTACATTGACAAGAAGAAAAAATATAACAACAGTATACATATACAGGCTCAAAACAGTATTCAGAGATTATTTTTAGGCCTCTGAGGCTTTTACATGTAGCTTGTTTTATTTTAAATGTTATATTAAAATACATGTACCTTATGTTTAATTAGACCAGACCTGATATGAACATTATTTGTAGGTGTGGGACAAAGGTGACTTCAAAATATTGCTGGATAGAGTGTCGGCAGTATTTGTCTACAACCACTACTTCTACAGGTAAAACACATTATAGACATTGATACACCCACCGAACGAATACATCTTGTGAACTCTTGTTTATTAAACAAAGTCCTTTTTTTGTCTTTAACCAAATTCTGATCCAAGTTCTACACCCTTGGGTAGAATTTCCACATCTGCCACTGAAAAGTCATGATATTTGGCTGAAAGCTTTGGTGGTAGGAGCCCAACAAAGTAAGGGAACGAAAATGACCTTGACCTACTTTCAAGGTCACAGGGGTCAAATGTTTCAAACAATTCAAACGACTTCTTCTGAAGAACTGAATGGTATAGTATCTTCATATTTTGCTGGTGGCTTCTTGGGATAGAGCCTGACAAAGTTTGAGAATGATAAATACTTTTAACTACTTTCAAGATCACAGGGGTCAAATATTAAACACTTTAAACAACTTCTTCTAAATATGTTAGAACATGGATTTATAATATGTAGCTTGTAGCTTTCTGGGATTGCGCCTGACAAAGTTTGCAAATGAAAATAACCTGGATCTCCTAATAAGGTCACAGAGGTCAAATATGTCAAACACTTTAAACAACTTCTTCTAAATATGTTAGAACATGGATTTATAATATGTAGCTTGTAGCTTTCTGGGATTGCGCCTGACAAAGTTTGCAAATGAAAATGACCTCAACCCACATTAAAGGTCACAGAGGTCAACAACATTTCAAATGATTTGTTCTGAAGAACCAAAAGGAATAGATTCATAAGATTTGGCTGGTAGCTTTTTGGGATAGAGCTAACAAAGTTTGAGAAGGAATATGACCTTGACCTACTTACAAGGTCACAGGGGAAAATATGTCAAACAACTCTTGAAGAAGAACAAAAAAGCCTAGAATCATATACATGTAACAATATTTTGCTGGTAGTTTCAACAGATGGAGCCGAAAAAGTTTGTCAGTGAAATTTTTGCAATACAGTATAATATTTAATGAGAATATTTTGCTATGACTGCTAAATATTCAGGTGAGCGATACAGGCCCTCTTTGCCTCTTGTTTCCCAACAAAACACCTTTTCGTGGGTACATGAATTTGTGGATTAGGAGTACCCACTCCAACCGAGAATTGCTTCATATCGAACTTGTAATTACTTCGTGAACCTATATGAACATGTTCTTTTTTTCTGTTACCTCTATAAAACATGCTGTTAGTGTGAAATCAGATATTTTAGTGGAGCACACATTTTATTTTTTCCCACTCCAACTGAGAATTGCTTCATATCAATTTTGTAATTACTTTGTGAACCTATGAATTTGTGGATGAAGAAATCCTGCGAAATCAATGGAATTAAAACCCCCACAAAAATTAGTGATTTCATAGTACATTCTATATCATCTATAGATCTTATCAATTCTACAGGTACTTACATAAACTTATCGATAAATGTCTTTACTTAAATGCTACTATATCTTACCGGTAAATGTCTTTACTTAACTTACCGGTAAATGTCTTTACTTATATATAAGATGTTAATACCTGTTTTATGTTGTATGGATTTTTTATGAATGGAAATATTTTTGCCATGTCATGCCCTAAGGATGCGTTATTCTAGAATATAATTAGACTTAAACCAGAAATGTCATTCATCCTGTATCCTATATTTGTGTCATCTTTTCAGCGGAGCAATTGGAAGTGGCGTGTGCGTGTTCTCCAAGTTTCCAATCCAGGAGACATTTTATTATCGTTTCTCACTCAATGGCTATGCCCATAAGGTTTTCCATGGTGACTGGTTTGGGGGCAAAGGTGTGGGCATGTGTGTTCTACAGTTCGGGGACTTCAAGCTCGGCCTCTTTTGTACACATGTAAGTCTAATTGGCTGGAAATTTACTTGTAGACTTTTCTATTTATGGATCTAATAGAACCAGAGGACTGATACTATATATAACTGACCTAGAATTAACTGTTTGAGCCTTTATTGGATCACCGGGTCAACAAAAATTCAAGAAATACTAAATGCTGCTATAGTTGTGGTAATCTGATTTTAGCATTTTTTGTGTTTGAAATATTTGGCTGAAGGGTTGCAATTGGTGCTCCAATTAATCAATGCCCTAAGATTTGAAAATTTGATAGTGCACTAAAATTTGAGCCCATTAAATTAAGGATGTTTACAGTAGTATTTTTTTAAATTCTATATTAGTTTTGTCATAATTTGAACGATAAATTTCGACACAAAATAAGATGTGCTTCACATATTCTTTAATGTGTAACAAGCAGTCGGAGGGTATTTTGGTCTACTTTTATGCTTTATTATGCTTGTAGTTTTTCTGGAGTTTATTTTTTTATTTTAGATATCTAAGTGTTAACTTTAATTTGCCAAACTTAATCCTATAAAAAGCCTTATAATTACATGATAATGATGAATAATGATAACAATAACCACTGGATCCTACTGTTTATAGGTTTGTGATTATTTATGAAACCGATGATTTTTCCAAGCTTTGTTGATTTCACTCTTAAGTCACAGATTTACAGGAGTGTTATTAATTGAATAAAATTACGGTTTAGACTAAACATATCTCTTTATTTGTCTTTTTACGTAATTTGATAAAAGATTTAAAGATTTCAAATGACAAAGCAGACATGTTTGGTCAACAGAGAAAGAGACAGAAAACCTACCTAAGAAAATATAAGAAAAAACAACCTGTCATTTTTATTTCAGCTCCATGCAGAGTACAATGGAGTTGATGATGAGTATTTGGCTCATAGAGTCTCTCAAGCGTTTGAAATGAGCCAGCTGATCAAACTAACAGCAACCAAGCATCTTTGTGACCTTGTCATCACTGCAGGAGACTTCAACCTCCAACCCACAGACTTAGGTTATAAACTTCTCAGAGAAAATGCACAGCTACGCGATGCTTGGTTAGAACTGGTAAGTTTTACAAAAACTGCAAATTTCGTTCGTGAATAATTATAACATGTCTTGCTCAGTAACACATCAGTGAACTGCTTATCTTGATGGGGGGAGGGGGGAGTCTTTTACAGAAAATCAATCAATAATTTCCTTCACAATATTCTTCATGCCCAGGTATCTTGATGCAAATGCTGGAACTTTCGTTGTTTTCATATTTCCCATCAACTAAGAATCTTTTAAAAGCTGGAATTTTTCAAAAAGTTTTGCCCTAAAATACCATCAACAAAATATGGATGGGGAGGTTGGGTATATTATAAGCAGTCATTCATTTGTTCATTTATCCATCTATGCATCTGTTAAAACCTTGTCTGGCCAAATTTTCATGGCCTTAATATGTTGTTTTGAACTTCATTGATGTGCATGCATACCTTTATGTCTGTGCCCCAAAGGTCACGATGACATGGCAATGGGGTCAAAGACCCAATGCTGATCTGGACTGTTTTAATTCTAATCAGCAAAGTTCATACGTAGATGTATCATGGCTAGATATCATGTGACATAACTCCAAAGTTCCAGGTCTTTGCAAGATGTAAAATCAGTGTAATGCTTGCTAGTGCTTTAATATACTTGATAATATAAACACTTCTCTGAAAGGAATAGATAGAGGAAGCAAAGGATGTATGCTTAAGTGTTTCATTTTCTTCTGGGTTTTTTAACAGTAAATGAAACAAGAGGCCCAATGGGCCTGCATCGCTCACCTGGTATTAATCTCACACTTGTAATCTGAAAAGTGGACTAAAATACAGCTACAGGCAGAATATCAGTGTTTGATTCATAAGAACCTATTTAAGGATTTACACATATGACGCCTGTGACCTTGAATGTCGAACATGGACATTAGGTCAACAGAGTTTATAGTCTTCCAACACGGCATGCATTTGGCAAAATATCATTACCCTGGACCTTCGGTCTATAAATATAGAACAAATCATTTAAAGATTTAAACACATATTGACCACTGTGACCTTGAATATGGGTGAAGGTCATTCACTTGGTAGTCCTTCATCCCAGCATGTTAATGGCCAAATATCATCACTCTTGGCCTTTTGTTTATTAAGAAGAAGTCATTCAATGGTTTTAAACATATTTGACCCCTGTGACCTTGAATATATATGTCAAGGTCATTCATTTGAACAAACTTGGTAGTCTTTTATTCCAGCATGTTACTGGCATTATACTAGGCCTCTTGGTTATTCAGAAGAAGTTGTTTAAAGGTTTTAAACATATTTGACCCCTGTGACCTTGAATATAAATCAAGGTCATTTATTTGAACAAACTTGGTAGCCCTTCATCACAGCAAGTTACTGGTCAAATGACATCACCCCAGGCCTCTCAGTTAATCAGAAGAAGTTGTTGAAAGGTTTTTAACATATTTGACCCCTGTGACCTTGAATATAAATCAAGGTCATTTATTTGAACAAACTTGGTAGTCCTTCATCACAGCAAGTTACTGGTCAAATGACATCTCCCCAGGCCTCTCAGTTAATCAGAAGAAGTTGTTGAAAGGTTTTTAACATATTTGACCCCTGTGACCTTGAATATAAATCAAGGTCATTTATTTGAACAAACTTGGTAGCCCTTCATCAAAGCATGCTTCTGGCCAAATATCATCACCCTAGGCCTTTTGGTTACTGAGAAGAAGTTGTTTAAAGTAAAAAGTTGACGACGGACGGCCGACGGCCGCCGCACCATGCCATAAGCTCACTTGGCCTTTCGGGCCAGATGAGCTAATAAATATGTCAGTTTTGTTTTTGAAATACTATCAAACACATGTACCTTAATATATGTTTGGAATTTTGCATTTAGTTTTAAAATTAGACTTATGCATGAACTCTATTGTTAAATTGTATCTGAAGTTTGATCTAAGAATGCCACTCTACCAATAATATGAATTTACATGAAAACAAGTTCATGTTTATTAAAAGAAAAATCTTTGCGAGAGAAAAATTGTTCTCTCCCGCCTCTAACCTCCCTTTTTGGGAGAAATTGTGATCATATTGTTTCAAATAAGCAGTACCTGTTTATTTTACAAGACATGGATTTTGTGTTTCAGAACGATGAAACAGAATCTGGTAAAACTTGTGATATTCCCAGTAACTATTTCACAACTAAATCCCAATTACAAATCTGTCCCCAAGGCAAGAGGCTGGACTACATCCTTTTCAGGAACAATGAAGGTAAGCTGGCTCTATTGATGAATAAACCTCACCACATATATCTGTATTCTAAAGCAATCCATTTGTAAAAAATCTTGACTATTTTCCAGGCTGTCATTGATTAATCACAATATTTGGTAATACATGTACCAGGTAATAATATATGGACATAGAAAAGACTTATTTACATGAAGCTATAATTGTGTACCTATTACAGAGCATCACTAAAGCATTAGTCTGAATTTAGTTTATTGTGGAAAATAAATGCTAAATGATAAGGAACTAACAAAATTATTACGAAACATTGACAGAAAATGATTTAAAGACTAATCTTTTTTACAATCAATAAAACATCTGTTGTTGAATTCTCCTTCAACTGTACTGGTGATTTTGGTGTCTGACCATTACTGTATGAGCCTTTATCTCTCTTGACCAATGTGTATTGATGGATCATTGAAACATTTGTATCGATGTTAAATCAATATAGTATATAATAATAATGGCCCTAATTATATACACCCAACAGAACGATGGAGTTAAATAGCAGCCACTTCGTTCCTCATCATAGTCCATTCGTTCTGATCTTCTGTAGAACATAACTTCTGAATCAAGTTTTATCAAAAGCTATTATTGGAGAAAAACATCTGTGTTTAAAGTTGTTCAGTTATTGAGTGTCCATAATATTAAAGAATTGTGTATACTAGGAAAATTCATCTATGAGGCAAACAAATTAAGGGTATTATAATGGAATATGATTGTCTTCATTCTCTGAACATTGTCCATGATTTGTGTATAATATGTATTGTATACTGATGGGCCAATGGACTAAAGTTCTAATAAAACTTGAAAACTTGAATCTTAAAGATTACTAAACAAAAAATGTTAAGTGTGTGAAACATGACAAGATATTGTATTGTGTACAATGTAAACACATGTCCACTATCAAGTTCAAGGTCATCGGAAAATGTCAAAGAAACGAATCACTCCAATATTTGTCTGAAACAAAATCTACGTACCAGTTATGAACTTATCCTATGAACATTTTTTGATGAAATTTTATCTTCCTGAATATCATGACAAGATTTTACATCCCATATCGGACACAAATCTGTTACCTCAGAGTCAAGGTCACAGGTCACAAACATTCTAAGTAGATGAAGTTCATAAATGTGAGTATTGATTTAAGACATGGCTATCACAGTTTACTGAAACTTAAAACATGTTGACAGTGTGAACAAGTTTTGTGGTTTAACTGTATCCATATGTATGCTATAGGTACAAGCGTGGAGGTAGTGAACTGTCAGGTGACAATGGGTAAGATACCTGGCCACCCGTACAACTACTCCGACCACGAAGGGGTCGGCGCCACACTCGCTATCTCCAAAAGTAACAATGGTGAGTCTATTTAGAAACTGAAAACATGAATATATTTCCTGTAAATATTGGATAGGTAGTAGGTACAAGAAGAAATGGGGGTATGCCTCTGTGAGAACATGGTTTATGAATGAATTGCTACGTTTTGACTTATGTCTGAAAAATTATGTGGTGTCACTATAATGAACAATATCATTTGGACACAATAATAAGTGTAAATTCCCATTAAGCTGTTCTGTGCAATGAAGTATTTGAATTTAATGATGCAAGTAAATTTTGATTTCTAAAATTTAAAAAAAAAGAGAATAAAATAAAATCTAGAGTTTTCCTGCGAAATAAGGGAGACTTTGCCTGACTTGGTATGAGACATAAGAAACATAACTTAAAGTTTATTACTGAGAAGGGTACATGTACCTTTGAAATAAAAGATCAGTTTGATCAATTCGTAGAATGTTCGTTTTATAATTTTGTTAGATCTTGAAGTATTACTGTACCATATAACAATAAAAACACATCCTGTTTGAACATGTAACTGTTTGTCTGTGAACCTGGTGTAACATACGAATGGTGGACAGGTTTCATCAGCCAATAAAATCTCTTGTTTATTAAATATCAATGAATATTTTTTGAAGGCTGTAACTCTTTTATCTTTATATACAATAATGTACCTTTCTTTAACTTTTCCAGCACCTTATTATGATAGAGACCCCTCCCGCTTAAACCCATTACTGTTGGACGCCAAGAGCCTTGTAGAGAAGGGGATAAAGAAAGTGTCGTCTAACAGCCAATTCTACACAATCCTGGCCGTCATGTCTGTGTGTCTCCTATACATGGTGTCCTCTGTCGACATCCCGCCCTGGCTCGGTCTGATCCGGGGCATGCTTCTTGTGGCCCTTACACTGTTGTTTGGATTCTGTATATGGAACAAGGCCATCCTCAGTCGTATAGAAAGTCACGGACTTATGGCCACGCAGCTGGACCTCAGCAACCTTCTCACCTCTGAAAAGAGCTAAATGTCTGACAGAGAACTTTTGCTAAAATCCTTATTTATGATTCTTCAAACACAAACATTAATTTTAATTTTCATCACATACTTTGTCAAAGGATACACTAACTTTCCTTTTGTAAATTAAACCGATAAGAGTTTTGAGAAATAACTGAAAATGTTACATATGTTGCTTTAACATATTTCTTTGTATTGTTACTTGATTGCATATATAAGCAGTATTATTTTAAGTATATGGTGAATAAATCGAATGAATGGCCATGACCTATATACTGGTCAAAATGAACAAAATTATACATGTTTGTATAAAGTTCAGACTGTACCTATTTTCTCCAAACTATCCATACATAAGGTATTCCATACATAAGGTATTCCAAAGGAACCAGAATATGTCCTGTCCACTTGAATCTTGTCAGAATAGATTATAGTTTCATAAATATCTCTGTTTATGTTGAAAATTGTGTGTCAGGATTTTAACCGATGATCTGAAGATATCTGAATGATAAAAGCACTTGTCCACTTTCAGATGTTTGAAATAACAATTTGAAATTTATTTATACCTATAACCCTTTGAATTGTTCGCCCCTACATTTTCAAAGTGCACTTACACAAACTTTGATTTGGTAAAGTTCAAATGTGGCTTTAGGGGTGAATGGGTTAAGTAGCAGTGCTTAAATAGAAAAATAGGGTACAGTCTGGTTACACTTGAGAACAAATTTTCATATTAATGATTGTATTTTGTAAAATTTTCCTAGAAAAATATTTTGTACATTTGTAATTTGCATAGCAGACATTATTTTAGATATGGGACCAGCTGCAGGTAGTGATTTGAATTTAAAGTCTATTTTATTATCAGAGTTTGACATAATCATCAATATTTCATGTGCATTAAATGTTGGGTGTGATTTCATGGATTACTGAACATAACAGTAATCAATTATTCTCTTACCTCTATTGGGTATATGTGGAGATATGTAACCTTGACCGTTTTTACAATTAAATTCATAAACTTTTATTTATTTTATAACAATCATGATCATGAGACAAGTCATTACAATTTATATTAATCACTATTGTTTGCTTGGATGTTAGCGCACAGGGGTCTTAATGTCGGAGGAAACCGAAGTGACTTGGGAAAACCCACGTGGTCAGCTGGCAGGTGACCCACACTCCGATCAGACGTTTTTACAATTCATGTTATCTGTGATTTTGAAGTTTGATTGACCACTAATATTTAGAAAAAAAAATCATTCAAACACAAGACTTGCTTGGAATTTGTCATTTAAAGCAACAATAAATTTACAGTAAGAAACACATCAATGATTATATGAATGACAGACGATGCATATCTCTCCTCCCTGAAATTTTCGAGTTTTGGAATATCTTACTGTCCCCCTGAAATTTTAGTTGGAACCCATGCACAGTTCGCTTTTGAGGCGTGCTATTCATGGGAGAGATGATGATTTCCAGTGTACATTTTGTATGTGGATATAAAGTGTTAATATTGCTGTAACTGTCAGTAATGGCAGAGTTGTGGTCTAAGGAAGAATTAATACCTAGGAATCTAACACAATAAATTAAAGAGCTAGGGACCGCAAGTTCAAATATGGGTTGAAATGCATCTTTTTAATATTTATGATGGTGTGCAACACAGTTCCATTCAAATACATTCCATGATGTGCTGTATACCCTATATGTTTTATAGTGCAAACACTGTGTGCTACTAGTCTGGTCATCTGTTGCGTCCATTACATGGAATGCGTAAGGTGCTGTAACGTCACCTGGAGTCGTAAACCACAAAGACTTTCCAGTCTTCTTTACATTTGAATAGAATACAATTGTAGCTGTGTGGGAGGATAAGCTTTGACATAATTCAGATTGCTGTCATCTATCAAATTGCCACTATGTCACAGCTTGGCAGGACAATCCTGTCCAGATTGTTTTTTAGCCCACCATCATCTAATGGTGGGCTATAAAAATCACCCTGCGTCCGTGGTCAGTCTTCCGTCCGTCGTCCGTCCTTAAACAATTCTTGTTATCGGTATTTCTCAAGAAGTACCAGAGGGATCTTTCTCAAATTTTATATGTAGGTTCCCCTTGGTCCTTAACTGTGCAGGGCAACTTTTGCGACTGATCGGATAAACAACATGGCCGACAGGCAGCCATCTTGGATTTTGATAGTAAAAAATTGTTATCGCTGTTTCTCAAGAAGTACCAGAGGGATCTTTCTCAAATTTTATATGCAGGTTCCCCTTGGTCCTAAGCTGTGCAGGGCAACTTTTGAGACTGTGATCGGATAAACAACATAGCCGACAGGCAGCCATCTTGGATTTTGATAGTGAAAGTTTGTTACCGCTATTTCTCAAGAAGTACCAGAGGGATTTTTCTCAAATTTTATATGTAGGTTTCCCTTGGTCCTTAGCTGTGCAGGGCAACTTTTGCGACTGATCGGATAAACAACATGGCCGACAGGCAGCCATCTTGGATTTTGATAGTGAAAAATTGTTATCGCTATTTCTCAAGAAGTACCAGAGGGATCTTTCTCAAATTTTATATGAAGGTTCCCCTTGGTCCTAAGCTGTGCAGGGCAACTTTTGAGACTGTGATCGGATAAACAACATGGCCGACAGGCAGCCATCTTTGATTTTGATAGTGAAAGTTTGTTATCGCTATTTCTCAAGAAGTACCAGAGGGATCTTTCTCAAATTTTATATGTAGGTTCCCCTTGGTCCTTAGCTGTGCAGGGCAACTTTTGAGACTGATCGGATAAACAACATGGCCGACAGGCAGCCATCTTGGATTTTGATATTGAAAGTTTGTTATCGCTATTTTCCAAAAATTACAGGAGGGATCTTTCTCAAATTTGAGGTATAGGTTCCCCTTGGTCCTTAGCTGTGCAGGGCAATTTTTGAGACTGATCGGATAAACAACATGGCCGACAGGCAGCCATCTTGGATTTTGATAGTGAAAGTTTGTTATCGCTATTTCTCAGGAAGTACGGGAGGGATCTTTCTCAAATTTTAAATGTAGGTTCCCCTTGATCTCTCGTTGTGTATGTTATATTTTGAGACTGATCATAAAAACAAAATGGATTAAAAGAAGAACTAAACAGATCTTTCTCATATTGCAATGATCGATTTTATTTCTTTCACATTAAGTACTGTACTAGTAAATATGTGAAATGACAAACTCACTTTGAAGGTTGGCTTTCATACACATCAGTATTAAGTTTAGATCAAAAGTTACCTCAAGGTGCATTTACTGTTAACATGACTCGATCAAACAGATTAGAGGAAAAAGAGAAAAGATCGAACTGGCAAAGAACTAATGAAGATGGTACAAAGGTGGACACCAAGATCCCTCTGGGATCTCTTGTTGTTTTGATTTTTTTATGAACAATCGGAATAGTAAAAACAATAGTGTTTTACAGCTCCTTTGCCCAATAGTTATCAGGGTTGTTGAAGGCATATATATATATATACTCAACCTTGAGTAGTTTGTGCTGTGCCTTAACTCTGGCTACTATTTAGTATTATACTGTAAAATACTATACTATTAATTAGTCCCCTTACGGTTCCTGGCAGGTTGGGGGGACTTTAGGTTTGCACTCCATCTTTCCGTCTGTCCTTCCGTCCAAGAAGTTTGTCCGGGACATATCTTCTATACTATTTCATCTGGAGTAGCCAGATTTGGGGTAAAATGATATTTTGGGATGGCAGAGTGCAGAGTGCATGAAGAATATCACTGTGACCTGTGTTTTGACCTTAACTTTTGAAAAAGTTTGTCCGGGGCATTTCTTCTACACTATTTCACCACGAGTAACCAGATTTGGTGTACAAGGACATCTTGGGATGGCAGAATGCAAGAATTAGGTCACTGTGACCTATGACTTGACCTTTGACCTTCACTTTTGAAAAAGTTTGTCCATGGCATATCTTCTGTACTAGTTCTCCTGGAGTAACCAGATTTGGTGTACAAGGACATTTTGGGATGATGGAATGCAAGTAGGTCACTATGACCTCGCTGTGACCTATATATATATATATATGATTCTTGACGTAAGTGTACTGTATGTTAAATATAGAAATAATTACTGGTGGGGGACTATGGATTGCCTTGCAATAGTCTACCTTGTTTAAATAAAAGCTTTATAGTTCCTGTATATTGTAATAATGACATTTAATCAAATATCACAAAGAAATAAAATAAAAAAGAAGGATGTAATAAAATTCAAAGAAACTGTAATGTTTGAGTTTTAGTATTTATTGGAGTATGTTGTACAAGGGTATATTACAAACTAGCACTTAATGTAAAATATCTTTAAGATAAACAATTCACCAAACAGCATAAAACACTTCAAAAACATATATATTACAGCAAAAACAGAGGAACAGGACAAATGACTGTACAACAAAACTGGCACAGCAAGTGTCGACCACTGGCAGTCAGAACAGAGAAATTATTATTTAATGAGAAGAACAGAAATTAAACATTGCTGCAAACACAAGTATTAACTTGAATTTCAAGTTTGTAACAAAAAAATAATAATGTTTGTTTGCAAAGATTAATTTCTGTTGGAACTGGTAAAACATAATGTACAAAAGAATTGTGCAGCAATGATTAAAATCCCAGACATATACATGAACAAGCATGGTAAAGAGATCTGCTGTGGCCTATTTGTAGGTAAAGCCTGACCGACCTGGAAATGTTAAAACAGGTTACTTAAGTTTTTATCAAGGCTTATTCGAAAACATTGGACCAACAGCTAAATCCATCTCTATAAAAATAATCAACAACTCTGCTCCAACATTTGGAACATGTAAAATGAAAGGAGTACTAGGTTATATTTCAGTCAAACTTTCAAATGACACTTTGAATTGAAGATTAAGTGAAAAAATATGCCAGATATTTATGAATCTCATTTCATCCCTACACAATATAAACAGATTTTAATACTGCCCCAATCAAATCTATTATTGAATGCAGTCAACTGGTAATAAGTTAAAGGGGATAGGCAAGTTACAACATCGTGTAAACCCAATGAACAACAAAGGAGATTCTGCATACAAAAACAAGAGGCCCATGGGGCCAGTATCCCTTTCCCTGATATGAATACCTCTGCACTTTGAGTAAGGTACATGAGTAAATGAAGCATGAAATTCCCATTGGGACTTCAGCAAGAACACATTCCAAAAGCTATCATATGATTGTGATAGCAAAACTTATCTCCTGAGATTTGTTCTTTTTATTTTACTTTATGATACATAATTATGTACATGATTAATTAAAACAAGTACAAACGTTCCCCCTTCTCACTATTGAAGTAATTCTACTGTAATAATATATAAATATATAATACTGGTAACTAGCCTACAAAACAATTTGTTTACGATATGTAATTATAATATTACATGCTATGACCATATTCTGTCTTTGATTGACACGATTAATTCTGGATTATATGTTACTCAAAATTTTAACATGTCACAGATTTATCACAGGGTGAAGAAGCGATTATGAATTTACTGACTAGATATAGAGAATTAATCTCGCAACTCAATAATTCTAGATATAAATATTCTATAGTGAAATTGGTAAAAAAAATAACAAATGTGTAGGTTGACAATGTTCTCTAAAGATTTTAACAAAAGTCAGTGTATTAGTGTGTAACCAAGTTTCTTTCTTTGATCTACAATATCAAATGAAAAATAATAAATGATTAAAACAGTATTCAAGGCACACATGTTTGAACTGAAAATAATCACCACTGACATCTGTTACTTAAAGGAACCAAATGTTGACTTTCTTCATCAATGATTTATACCAATTGAATATAAAACTCCCAAGAATAAGTGACACCTTAACCTGAAGAAATGCTGCAGGAGATAGAACCACACTAAATTACATTACAGTCTATAACCTTTCTAATAAGTCAGTTCAATTTCTCTATTTAATATCTAATTTTAATGTAATAATTTTTTCCCACCAAGAAATCTGATTACATTTTCTTCCATGAAGATTATTTACTAATTTCACACATCTTTTCATCATTTTAAAATTTATGGAACAGTCTTCAAACAGTAGGTCACAGGGATCTTGTGAAAAGTGGCATAACATCCACATGATTGAACAGTTTTATGAAATCGGGAACTCGTGAGTAGCTGCATAGCACCCGTAGACATGATGGTAAAGCTGTCGTTCGATGTCGATCAAAAGAGAGCTGGCCCCAATCCTGAACATGTCACTGTTGAGCCAGTCATCACCAAGCTCCTCCTTCATCAGGATGAGCCAGGCAGAGGAATCCTTGGCAGAACGAATACCACCCGCTGGCTTAAACCCAACCTGGAAAAGGAAAAACGCAAATTAACTTTAAAAGATATACCAGTATTTTGAGCATTTAAAGTTCTCTGAATTAGGAAACCTTCTAAACTTTCTTCTGGTCACATTTGTAAACTGACAGAAAAGAATACAGTAAAACCCCGTTATAATGCCACTAGTTAAACCGCAAATCCCACATACCGCCATTAATTTACCCCAAAATTAATGCACCCATTGTAATGTAATGCAAAACCCGCATACCACCATCATATTTCCAAAACCAATGGTTAAAATCAAACTACTTTGACCTCGTTAAATACAACCAATTTGAGTTGAGTACAAGTATATCCCAATGAAAGGAATATGTGTACATTGTATTGTTACACGTGGCTGTCGACTGACCAGGTGATCAGCTGACTGTTTTGCACGCTCAACAATTTGATACATTAAATTAGAATTTTGAAAAAAAAACGTATTCTGAAGTCAATATTTTTTTTTAAGTATAAGTTCAGTTGGTGTGTGAACACTTGGGTTTAAAACTGTTAACCTGATATACCGCCAAAATCACAGAGGCCAGAAGGTGGCGGTATAACAAGGTTTTACAATATTCATTTCACAATTTACTGAGACAAATTCACATTCTGTCACCTGCTAAACAGAAGCACTGATCTACAAATTTACCCAAATAGACTTTTTTGTTGTACTTTAATAAATAGCACCTACAAATATATTGAACAGTAAACAAGTTTTTGCAGGGTTATTTATCTATCAAATGTTCTAAACAACTTCCTTTAAAACGTTAAGCATTTCCAACCCAGAATTTTAAGACCGTACATAATATTTAGCTTTTTCATTTTTTTCACATACCTTAAAACCAGTGTTTTGGTAATACTCCCTAATAGCCCTAACCATCACCAAGGCAACGGGAAAGATGGCATTGACACCCTCCTTTCCAGTGGAGGTCTTTATGAAATCAGCACCTACAACCAATCATCATTTATGATTCAAGAAATATATACTTCTGTATAAATATACAACATAACTACCACAAATTTTCATATTACTACATCCAATCTATATACCAAGTCTATACCAACAGTAAAACTTGTAAACACATACACATGTACATGTATGTCAGGTATACTTTCATGAACTCATTTACTCATGAACTTTAATGTATACTCCCAGGGCTCCAATCGTCTTACATGTATATCAAAGTGCTTTAATACCAATCTGCAGGCATCATTCTACAGACAGCATTAATCCAGAAATCTTTAGGAAGTCTCTGTTTTCAACACACTAACAATCAAGTGCAAAACCAGAGAACATAAAATGATTATACTCATAATTATGCCAAAAGTTCCAAACATGCGAAACAAACTAAAATTGATATGTAAAAAGTAAAGAAACATAAGATACCGGTATGTAATGCTAATAAAAACGAAACTCTATGTCTACTGACCTGCCATCATGCAGACCAAACTAGCTTTGTACACATTGTTCATGTTTCCAAGCTCCCCTGTAGCCAGGATGGTCTTTAAGTGGGCATCACCGCAAGCTTCCTTCATGGCTCGAACCTCGTTATAAACACCTGCAGTGAGACATCAAGATTGAAACATCTTTTGTAGACCTTGTCCACCAAATCATAACCAATGTCTTGATAATAATAACATTTGTCTTGCTCAATCAAACAGAAGATTATGGCAATGGCTAATTATGGTTAATAAAAAGCTAGAACACATGCCCTGTAACTGCCAAATCTTATATCAATACTTTGGTTTGGTTTGTTGGTGTTTTACGTCCTATTAATAGCTATGGTCATTTAAGGACGGGCCAGGTTTTGGTGGTGGAAGAAAGCCAGAGTTCCAGGAGAAAAATCACCGGCCTACGGCCAGTACATGGTATGTCTCGAACCTGCGACCCAGTGGTGGAGGGCTAGTGTTAGCAGAATGTCAGACGCCTTAACCACTTGGCCATCGCAGCCAATATAATAATAATAACATACAATAATATACAACATTTGTATAGCGCTCTGTATAATATGGATAATTGCATTAGTTATAATTGTGTAACAAAAACTGCTTTCCATCACCATTATACATTAAGCAAAATGATAATCATCGTAATGTGCACATAAATGAATAAATAAAAGGTGGTATGTACATGACATCTATGAAAAGAGTCTAAAATACGTTACAATCGTTGGAAATGCAATAGTACAAAAGAACACATCCATGAATGTTTATATGAAAAAGACTTTTTCCTTTCATTTTGTCAAACGTTAAACCGATTCTCCAGTTTCTTTTAAATAAAATATTTAACTTAGACACCTACCTAACCAATTCTCCAGTTTATTCTCAATAAGGTATTTAGCAGAGACACCTACCAAACCAATTCTCCAGTTAATACTCAATAAATTATTTAAACTAGGACACCTACCCAACCAATCGCCAGATAATACTCAATACATTATTTAAACAAGGACACCTACCCAACCAATCGCCAGATAATACTCAATAAATTATTTAAACTAGGATACCTACCCAACCAATTCTCCAGTTAATACTCAATAAATTATTTAAACTAGGACACCTACCCACCCAATCGCCAGTTAATAATCAATAAATTATTTAAACTAGGACACCTACCCAACCAATCGCCAGATAATACTCAATACATTATTTAAACTAGGACACCTACCTAACCAATTGCCAGATAATACTCAATAAATTATTTAAACTTGGACACCTACCCAACCAATCGCCAGATAATACTCAATACATTATGTAAACTAGAACAACTACCCAACCAATTCTCCAGTTAATCCTCAATACATTATTTAAACTAGGACACCTTCCTACCCAATTGCCAGATAATACTCAATAAATTATTTAAACTTGGACACCTACCTACCCAATCGCCAGATAATACTCAATACATTATGTAAACTAGGAAACCTACCCAACCAACCGCCAGTTAATACTCAATACATTATGTAAACTAGAACCCCTACCCAACCAATTCTCCAGTTAATACTCAATACATTATTTAAACTAGGACACCTACCTAACCAATCGCCAGATAATACTCAATAAATTATTTAAACTAGGACACCTACCCAACCAATCGCCAAATAATACTCAATACATTATGTAAACTAGCACACCACCCAACCAATCGCCAGTTAATACTCAATACATTATGGAAACTAGAACACCTACCCAACCAATTCTCCAGGTAATACTCAATACATTATTTAAACTAGGACACCTTCCCAACCAATTCTCCAGTTAATACTCAATACATTATGGAAACTAGAACACCTACCCAACCAATTCTCCAGGTAATACTCAATACATTATTTAAACTAGGACCCCTACCCAACCAATCGCCAGTTAATACTCAATACATTATGTAAACTAGAACACCGACCCAACCAATTCTCCAGTTAATACTCAATACATTATGTAAACTAGGACACCTACCCAACCAATCGCCAAATAATACTCAATACATTATGTAAACTAGGACACCACCCAACCAATCGCCAGTTAATACTCAATACATTATGTAAACTAGGACCCCTACCCAACCAATCGCCAGTTAATACTAAATACATTATGGAAATTAGGACACCTACCCAACCAATCGCCAGTTAATACACAATACATTATGTAAACTAGGACACCTACACAACCAATCGCCAAATAATACTCAATACATTATGTAAACTAGCACACCACCCAACCAATCGCCAGTTAATACTCAATACATCAGATAATACTCAATAAATTATTTAAACTAGGACACCTACCCAACCAATCGCCAATTAATACTAAATACATTATGTAAATTAGGACACCTACCCAACCAATCGCCAGTTAATACACAATACATTATGTAAACTAGGACACCTACCCATCCAATCGCCAGTTAATACTCAATACATTATGTAAACTAGCACACCACCCAACCAATCGCCAGTTAATACTCAATACATTACGTAAACTAGGACACCTACCCAACCAATCGCCATTTAATACTCAATACATTATGTAAACTAGGACACCTACCCAGCTAATCGCCAGTTAATACTCAATACATTATGGAAACTAGAACACCTACCCAACCAATTCTCCATTTAATACTCAATACATTATGTAAACTAGGACACCACCCAACCAATCGCCAGTTAATACTCAATATATTATGTAAACTAGGACACCTACCCAGCTAATCGCCAGTTAATACTCAATACATTATGTAAACTAGACCACCTACCCAACCAATTCTCCAGTTAATACTAAATACATTATGTAAACTAGGACACCTACCCAACCTATCGCCAGTTAATACTCAATACATTATGTAAACTAGAACCCCTACCCAACCAATTCTCCAGATAATACTCAATACATTATGTAAACTAGACCACCTACCCAACCAATTCTCCAGTTAATACTAAATACATTATGTAAACTAGAACACCTACCCATCCAATTCCCCAGTTAATACTCAATACATTATGTAAACTAGCACACCTACCCAACCAATCGCCAAATAATACTCAATACATTATGTAAACTAGGACACCACCCAACCAATCGCCAGTTAATTCTCAATACATTATGTAAACTAGGACACCTACACAACCAATCGCCAAATAATACTCAATACACTATGTAAACTAGGACACCACCCAACCAATAGCCAGTTAATACTCAATACATTATGTAAACTAGACCACCTACCCAACCAATTCTCCAGTTAATACTAAATACATTATGTAAACTAGGACACCTACCTAACCAATTCTCCAGTTAATACTCAATACATTTTATAAACTAGGACACCTACCCAGCCAATCGCCAGTTAATACTCAATACATTATGTAAACTAGGACACCTACCCAACCAATCGCCAGATAAAGCATACTGTCGGTTGATGACTATATCGATCTCAGAGGCTCCGTCACTAACCGCCATTTTGATCTCTTCAAGTCTTGTCTTCAGGGGCGTCTGGCCGGATGGAAAACCTGTGGCCACTGGAAAATTAAACATTACAACATAAATCTTTTACGTGTACACAAACAATATGAACAACCTGTAGCAACTGTAAACAAAATGCAACAACATGGAGAATCCCCAGTATGATCAAAATAAACAAAATTCAAGAGTACAGAATCATTAGTTTCAGTTCTATAAAGGATTTTGTTAAAAGAAATCTAAACATGGCTCAATTTCACTATGGATATTGAATAATTCATCTTGTGTTATCCCTGATGAGCCGTAACTGGCGAAACCGGACGGCAAACAATTTTTTTATTTTTATTTTCTACCTACTCACATGTTATCTTGATGTAATATATAACATTGGTTTTTTTTACCGTGTATAATCTTACCTGATGCAATGGGTATGTGTGAAGCATTAGCTGCCTTGAGGAATTTCTTGCAGTCTGCTACTCTGTTGGGATACACACACACCGCACCCACTGTTAGTCCTTGCAAAACAAAACAAATATCACCCTTATTGATGCATGTGTAAAATCTCCTAGTCCAAGGCAAAGCGTAGTGGCTATTTATTTTAGAACATGAAAAAGAAAAGGTACACAAAAGAACCAACTACCTGGTATAAAGATCATAACTCAAATAACTAACTCACCTTGATCATTCATGCCCAGTGCCTTCATTATATCTTCACGGACTGGGTTTGCTGCCTTGAAACAAAGACGACCGACGTTGGTAGCTGTGTCGTCTCCAGAGAGTGTGGTCAGATCTATACAAGTCACAGCTCGCAGCAGCCAAGCAGCCTAGAAATATACAAAAGATTTTTAATCACAAATTGATTTTCATTTTGTAGCAATAAACTTTCCCTATAGCAAATTATTGAAATATTTTGATCTGTAAATTAATGGTTCTTAATTATAAGGACTCACACAACTAAATCAGCCAATCAGCAAGTGTTTCATACGATTGTAATCCCTATCTATTTCGGGTTAACACAGTGCCTCTGAGTAAATTGAATAGGTAATTATTGACATATTTTACATTGAATGAAATCTACAGACATTGAACTGATGGCAGATTGATATGGGCTCAAATGTCAGGGGGTGTTCCCTACCCACTTCACCGGATTGGCTTGTAAACTTCCGGTTGTCAAAAGTAGACGCCTGTAGTGCTCTTATATGCCACCAAACTCACCAAAAAATGCCTTTTGAATCCTTTGTCAAGTATGTGTCTGTGAATCTAGACAGTTGTCACTAGTGTTGAACTTCAAATATTAACGCTATTAGCTCAAAAGCTTAGTAATATCATATATAGTAAATTATTTAGTTGTGCTAGCCCTTAACTTAACCCTTTATTTTTACCACTGTAGACCATCATGGATTCATCCAGATGGATTTATGATAGAGTCCACTCTAGTTTCCTAGGGGTGAAAGGTTTAAAGCTTTCAGTAATGAAAACTTTTTTCTTTTGCAAACATAAAAAGACAGTTTCATTTCATTGTAAAAATTCATGTTAAACAAGTAATGTCTTTAATGAAACATCTCTAAGTTTCCCTTAGCTGTTGCACAAATATTAGGTGATTAGATAACAATATAATGAAATTTTACAATGATGTCAAAATTTCATTTGGCCATAGAAGATTTGGAATCCCTGCTGGTGACTAAATAACTGATCAGTTAGTAGACTGTTTATTTTGAGACTAGATGTTCTGTGTTCAAATAATTCAAGGCTGGCCTATTTCATTTGCCTGTCCTGATGAGAGTAAATCTAGATCTGCCTATGACAGCTAGACCTTCCTTACAAATAATGTACTGTGTGCCAGTGGTAAGGGGATGTCCAAACCTGGGTTGTAAATAGTACTGACTTTGGAGAAAATACATTAGAAAAAGGATGGAATAGTGTGTATATCTTGACAGGGTTGAGTATCAGTGACCAAATCTGGATAGCATTAGCTTAGTTGATTACGATTTTTTTTTTAAGTTTGGAGTTTGAGTCCTGTTCTCAGGCCTATTGCATTTCCCTGTTACACGTCTATAAAATAACCATTTTCATTGATAATTGGCCCAATTCAAATTGAGTAAAATCAAAATATGAACTTGTTCTATTGCACTGACAAATTAAAAAGTTTCACAGCTAATCATGTCCAGTACCTACCTGCCATTGTTTTTTGACAGTGCGCCGTGCTGCCAGAGTCTCACATCTTCGTTTTACTGCTGGTAAGTTTACACACACATTCTCTAACCAACAAGCATCTGAAAGAAATTTAAAACAATGGACTGATAACTACATGTGGAAGCAGAAATTCTAATAATAAGCCAACCATCTCAAGGCACATGGAGCCAGTAATTTCTGATGGCTACTGAAAACTTTCTATGTACTACATGCCCAGCTGGCACTACATTTTTGTACAAAGAAAGCATGATATTAATGTATATTTTCAGGCCTTAAAATTTAAAACACAAGATAATATATATAAGGAAAATTGTCTTGGGTCAAATTTAATGTTTTAGTAATTTAGGATCTATAGAATGCAGAGATGTAACTGGCCTATACATTTAAAGTAACTTTTTCGGTTACTCTTCATTTTGTATGGTGACCATTCATTAGTGATTCTTTAAACCGCAGCTTTCGCTGGGGTCGCATTCGTTTATCGCTATCCAAGAGGTTGAACCACTTTGATAAGAGGTGTTCGTTTATGAAATAAGGCTGGACCTAGTAATCTGATGCTGATGACAAAGCGTTGCAAGGCCTGCATAATCATTGGCAGGTCTGCCAGGATTTATAACCGAAAATCTTTCATTTCAAAACAAACAAACCAGTTGAACCAGATAGGTGAAAGGGACATGGGTTAAAAGTTCAAAATTATTCACAATCCTTAGTGATGAGCGGTACTGTACTGCTTTTGAAAGTTGGTCCCAAGCATCCAATGATATAACTGGAGTTTCCTTTGGCCCCTGACACCAGACTTAGCTTATAGGCATTATCAAAGACTTGCACATTTTCATATAACGGTGCTCTCTGTTCCCACACCAGACATCTACGGTATCTGTCAAAATGTATTAGTCTTGTGTCAGGGCCAGAGGAAACTCAGGCTACCATCAAACACCTTTATACATGTGTGTATAAGGTTTTTCAATATTTAGGACTTATAACAGTATATTGTTCATGTAAAATCATGTGAACCTGAAGTTCTTTCGAAAAATGATAATAACAATTATACAAAAAAATACCTTTGTTGTACTTAAAAAACTTAACATATTAAAGTTTTTTTTGTTTTTTTGTATTACTGTAAGTGTTATTATTCATTTTTGACAGAACTTCAGGCTCCTGTGATATAATTCAACAAAAGACTGACAATAAACAGTTTTAATAACATAACACTTCTGATTTATTCCGACTCTTATATATATATATGTGTGTGTGTGTGTGTAGTTCAGTTCAGAGAAGGTATACAGGGTCACTCTACAGCTCTAAAGCCAGATAACTTCTGTGTGTGTGTGTGGGTGTAGTTCAGGTCAGAGCTGCAGGTATACAGGGTCACTCTACAGCTCTAAAGCCAGATAACTTCCAGGCAACAGAGGATAAGATAGCATGCTAAACACAAAACCACAAGTTCATATGTTATAGCCGTAGCGTATCAATTATTATGACGGATTCTTGGTCAGTTTATAAATTAAATAATTGTAGAGTTCTTGTTTATGAAGATATCATTAAGTACAGTTTATAAATTAAATAATTGTAGAGTTCTTGTTTATGAATATATCATTTAGTAAGGTAAGGATAAATTTACTTCAGCTCTGAGCTCCAATTTTGCAGACGGCTGCAAAAGAAAAATTAGGTCAAACAAACTTTTCCAAAACAAACGCCCTTGTTGAGAGTGGCATCCGTTTCATTATAATGAGCATTGCATTTGAACATCGTGGTGTATGTCAGACATTTTTCTACATGGAAGGTTAAAACCAGTATCCAAAAATTACTAAAATTACCAAAGTCTATCCCTGGATTTCTTGCTGCCATCTCGTCAACACGATGCGGTCACAGTCTCGAATATGCTTAACTAGTCCCTTTCGTTCAAACACTTAACTAACGTTAAACACAGATCCTGTCCTGGGAGCAGTAAATATTTTGAAAATATTATGTCTGCTTCAAATTATCTTGTGGATGAAGTGGTAAAGGCGACAACATCTACCCTATCACATTACTAAATACAGAAATACATGTTCAAATGAATATTCCTATGAATTAATAAAAAGTATCAGACAGTTTTAAAACTTTCTTCATCTTTTTTTCATAAACTAAATTTTATGATGAGGTGTTCCATTTTTGTATCCGTCAAGCTAATATTTCCAAGTTTATCAGTAACATTCCCATGAAGTATCAGGAAAAATCCCTTTGACCGAAGTGGTAGTTATCATAATTATATGGACAGTTTTGTTGAAATCAGTCCACAACTTTAGAAGATGTTGTACGGACAAAAAGTTTCAGGATTTTTTCAATAAAGCCTTTATTAAAGGGCCATAACTTCGTGAAAAAGGTCAGAATGAAACTTCGTTGCGGGGGGTATTACAAGAGATCCCAGAGGGATCTTGGCACCCACCATCGTACCATCTTCATTAATTCGCTTTCAGTTCGATCTTTTCTCTTCTTTTCTCTCATATATTGTTTCATTCTAGTCCAAACATTAGTGTTTCACTGAGACACTAAATAGACTAAGAGCTTTTAAACTTGAAGAGATGAGTAAGGGAGACCCATTCATTCTGTGACAGGGAGAACACATAACGGGAAACATGCAGCACCTCGTTACACATGCAACAAATGCATGTGGAAATGTTCTTACCGTTATTCTTTCATGCGCAACAAAAATAATTGTAGGAGGTGAAATTGAACACGTTTGAGCCGTAATTTTTTCGGCGTTTTTTAAGTGGCGTTAAAATCCTTTTTAATTATGTTTAAGGTCCGGTTCAAAACTTCCTCTTCCATGGAGCCATGGAAAAGTTTCCTTTTTTTGTCATGGCACATCTAGGCCTATCTAAAGAATCAATATATATATATCCGTTTATTAACACAGATAAAATAACGTTTAGCATTGGGGCACATTAGCCACACGCGTACTAATGAACAAAAATGGTAGCCGCCAACGTACAATTAAAATTGTCAACAAAATACCGTTAATACACCACGAAAAAAACTCAGGAAAACAATAACTATTAACATTTTCAAATTATTTTTAATAGTGTGATTTTAAAATGTATAATAAAATAGACAATCATATAATATATAAGACAAAAACCGTTCATAATGGCCCTTTGATCTGCACCCAGTCATAAAGTGTTGAGGTTTTTGAGAAATCTATAGCATTCACCAGAAAAAAAATCGTGTTGGTAGTTTTAATATCCTTAATCTGTGATCATAGTTCAACTCCTTCATTCCCGGTATTTGTTTAGTCGCTCTTCTTTGTACATTTTCCAGTTCATTTATGTGTTTTTGTAGGTATGGATTCCATACGCTGGCCCCGTATTCCAGGTGCGGTCTTACAAGCGCTTTATACAAAAGACAGAATGTTGTATTGTCTAAATATGTGTAAGTTCTTCGGATAGTTCCCATTATTCTGTTTGCTTTATTGACCGATTCGTGGATATGATCGCTGAAATTTAGGTGATTGTCCGTAATAATTCCTAGATCCTTTTCTTTTGTTATGTTTTCCAAAGTGACATCGACCCTCCCATCTTCCGTATCTTTATGTTCTTTCCTAAGGTTAATACTTTACATTTGTCGGGGTGAAATTTTAACAACCATTTATCTGACCATTCTTGGAGCTGGTCAAGATCATCCTGTAGGGCAGAGACGTATCTGTGTAGGGTAATATTTTGATCATAATTGTAAATTTTTGTATCATCTGCGAACAAGAATGTTGCTGCGTTGATTGTTTCTGGGAGGTCATTTATGTAGATTACAAATAAGGATGGCCCTAAAACACTACCCTGTGGAATCCCACTAGTTACCTCCATCGATTTAGACGTTTCACCATTGACTGATACTCTCTGCTTCCGGTTTGTTATGAAACTGTGTACCCACCGTACAATTTCCGGTGATAGTCCGTATGATCTTAATTTGCCTATTAAACGTAAGTGTGGAACAGTGTCAAAGGCCTTCATAAAATCAAGATAAACTGTTTGGATTGATCTCCCTTGGTCGAGAGCCTCCGTCCAGTCGTCAATTACTTCAAACAGCTGAAGTACAGTTGATCTACCTTTTACGAATCCATATTGATGTTTACTCAGAAGTTGATTTCTCTCCAAATGGCTCATTATTCTTGTTCTTATCATCTTCTCCATAGTTTTACATAGTACACTGGTCAGACTTACAGGTCTATAGTTCCCGGGATTTTTCTTATCCCCTTTTTTATGGATGGCGGTTATCTGTCCCTCCTTCCAGCTGGCCGGAAGTTCTCCTGTCTCTAGAGATTTGTTGAATATTTCACACAATGGTGTGTTTATTATATCAGCAGTTTCTTTTAGTACTTTAGGGTGGATGGTATCTGGTCCCGGTGATTTTGCAGGATTTAAAGTTTTTAAGACGGTTAATATTTCTGCCTCCGTTATTTTAGTATTATGGTATGGAGTTGGTATATTGATATCTGTTAGAACAGGTATACAATTTTGCGGTTCAACCGTAAATACACTTGAGAAAGAAAAAAAGTTAGGGGAAACCGCTGGGCCCATTTTTATAAAATTGATCTGGACAAAATGACATAGATTGAAAATTATGTGTATTGATATATCAGTCATTAAAGCCTCGGGAGATATTCTATATTTTTCATAAAATAATATCAACATCACAGGGACCTGGGAATTTGTAACAGCTATATTTGGACCTAAACTAAGGTGTTCAAGGTTACATGTTTTAGAGGTTTAGATCGACTTTCGGTAAAAAAGACTCCCCAATGATCGTATATATATTTTTGTTGGGGTGTCTTTTTTTACCGAAAGTCGATTGAAACCCCTAAAACATGTAAAAATACACTGTGATCAAAATGACTAGGCCCTATCACGTGCGTATCATATCATTATTTTTTGTCCGGTGACAGGGACTGGGTAACCAATCATGCCCCACATGAATCATTATAATTATGACGTCATAAAGCATGCAACGTCAGGTTTTCCCCGTCATTGTCTGTTCTCTTAAGAAAACGTCACATTTTGGGTGTTGATGGCGTCGAAATTAACCTGCTGGCCTAGCACTCCTTAGGGGACGTATTTTGGAGATATATATTTACAATCATCCATTGAAGAAAATTATGTACAATTTAAAGAAATAACTGATGAATGTTACAGATCTTGTCTCATCATGACTCAGAAAAAGACTGTTTTTATAATTTCTCTTCAAATAAGGTCAAGCGTATCTGCAAAAAGACTCCCTGTGGGCCGGCAAAGCACCTGGTGTGATCAAATTGTTTATGATCATTTTATATATATGCTAATGATACAATTATGCAGCTGTTTATGTTTTGTTTAAAGTGTACTCTGAACGAAAATAGATATGAATATATTAATATTCTACATGATCCAAACACAAAAATGTCGAAAACCGCATTAAAATCGGTCATCCCGATACCGAGATATCGACGTGTAAAGTGTAGGATTTTCACTTGTCCTTCTTCTACTAATTAGCATAACTCGCAGTGATTTGGCCCCTATCGATTGTGACGTCATAAGTTCAACGCCTGTAGTATCGAGACTGCGATTTCTTTTATTTATTTTTTATTTTTGAGGAATTAGTTTATGCTAAAGATAACATTATGTAGATGGTATCCAGTCACATCAAATTTGCCAGAATTTCCAGACAGTGAGTTTAATCGAAACCAAACTGACGACTCTGGACCACGGACTTAAGATAATCTAATTCCGTGCATAGACTGGTAGCATTGCATGTACTGATTCTGAGCGCTGATGACATTTTTTCTCTTTCGAATGAATGAGTTTGAGGGAAATTAAACAGAAGTAGTCTCAATGTTGTTGATTAAAGATATTTTAGCTGGAAAGTCAGTTTACTTCATAAGTCTCTGCTCTACAGTAAAAACCTATCCACTTATGTCGTCATTGAGCAGCACAACTTCCGTTCGTGACCAGTTTCTGTGCCGGAATACTCATCTTGCAAGTTATATATTGTGGTACCTCTCTGGCTACTTCTACGGTCCAAAAATACGGAAATATATCAGTGAAAAATGTTTACAAAGTAACTTCAACGTTGGTGTCTGCTGTTTTTAAATGTCAATATTTTTAGTAATGACAAATCGACGACATTGTGTCTTTCTTATGGTAGGTCACAGACTTAGATAGCATCTAATTCCGTGGTTAGGTCGACAACTCAAATAAACAGCAAAATACCAACAGCTACACATTTAATTGTATACAATACAGTACCTATGTATGTGATGCTAAATAAGTTGACGGACTTATATAATCTAATTTCGTGATTACATTTATCTCAAAAATATAATTGAATACATTTTTGTTTCTCCCTATACATGTAGCATACACAACGTCAAGCTATAATTCAACATCTTGGTTAGATAATGAAAATCATCTCGATCCACTCCCTTAGCATAGTTAGGTGTGAAATTTGTGTACAGGTAAATAAGACTAAACGCTTGTGTCCAGTACATTTTCAGCATCCTGTCCCCAGATGTCAATTATAATGTTATCGCGTTACCCATTATTACAAGTGATTGAAATAGGACCACTTGTGAGACTGGTTCACCAAATCTGTTTAAAATAAATCAGATTCAAAACGGTTTTCAAATGAATTTCAGTACTACAATTACTTTCTACTTTCAGAAGTCAAAGAGTCTGTTTGGTTGTGACATGTGACAATATCCCTTTATTTATTGTTTTCTTGCTTCGTAGATGCTGCCAAGCGTTTGAATTCGTATGGTATATGTAATGGCATATTTTTATTTAAAACTTTCTAGCATCGGCTTACAAACAAAGTAAAATAATTGCTTCTTTAATAAACCAAGGTTTCGTTTCAAATTTGTTCCAACTTCAGTTTGGCAGAGAAGGCGTCAAGGAAGCATCATCTTCCCTCGGCTGTATGCATTTTTTTTATTAATATTTTGTTGAACGATTTGTGCGCATCAATGACGATGTGTTTTTTTTGTAAGCATGCATGGTCTGGACAATTTCAAAGACATCTGCTTCAGTTAACCTGTAAGTGGAGATTCAAATACAACGCGTCTAAATATATTGTCTTTTAGTGATAAGGAAGGCCAGGGGCTATTTTGCACATGCACCTTTAAAAAGACATGTAAAAAATGAAGTAGAGATAATTCGGAGCTGGTATCTTGACAATGAAGTGGTTTCAGATGCTGACGGACTAAACACATTGGCATCATCTTGAACTAGCTCAAGTTACCCGGCTCTCCAGACGTTAAATGACATTGTGAACAATCCACGTAGTCACATGATGTTCGTCGTACTCAATTGCAACCTTTTCGGTACTTCTATCAGTCCAGTGACAGGTGTGAATTAAGATTATAAAACTTTTGTCTTGCCAGAAACCATTTTGGCTGTGAACTCTGTTTTTCTTTAAGATAAACAGATATCGAGTGGAGTCGTATTGCAACTGTGTATAAATTATGCGCAAAACTCATTCAAAACTTTATAGCTCTTAGCACGTAAGGGCTTACCTCAATACACCAGGAGGCTAAATTAGCCAAACGTTGTTTTTTTGCTGATTGCAAAGAAACTTTTCATTCTTCGCCTTTATCGTGCTTTTTTTTTGGAATTCGTCAAGGCGTAAAAGGTTTTATATCAGCTATTAAGGATATCTTTCATAAATATGACCTACATAATGTTTTGTTTGCTTTTTTACAAGAAAGATGTTTCCTTTATAATAAATAACCAATCTTGAAACGGCTAACAAAGAGTATTCTAATGTGTAAACCTTCTCAGCAGTCGTTATTCACAGGGACCTGGTCATTTGTTACAGCTCGAACCTAAACTGTAACGAATTCTCTGATAAAACTGATGTGTTTTGGGCAATATATTTGTTTTCAGGGTTAAGATATTTAACAACGCTACCCGATGATGATATATACCATCACTGGGGTGTAATTTTCAACCTTGAAGTTGACACCGTTTTAGGTCCAAAATTGCTAGCTGCGGGAACCGTAGCTTCTATGTCCGATTTTTTTTTTATTGTTATCGGACCTTATCGGACCATAGTCTATGGTCCGATAACAATAAACAAAAATCGGACATAGAAGCTACGGTTCCCGCAGCTACAAAACAGTTCATTCTCAGAAATTCTCTAACGGTTATAATATTATTAGTCCTTTTACTATTTGGTTACTTCTAGTTTATCAAAACGTTTTCCGTTCTTAAGTAGAACGTACGTGAATGTTGTAAACTATGGATTATTTCTCCAGATTATAAATTAGAATTCTACAATATTTGAGAATCTGGATGTTTTTCAGTCAAATGGTCATGAGCAATCATTGTACATAGGCATAAAAAGGTGTTCGTATGGATCCCGAAAATTTCCAAGATACAATTAAGTCTTATGCGTTAATGCAAATTATTTCCATTCATACTTATTATAAATAAGCATGATAATTTTATAGAGACTCAATTTGTAAACATCTTAGTGTAAGTACTGATGATGCATGCCTTTTTGCAAAATTCTAATTTCGAAAACTTTATCTGATAAAAAGAAGTTGCCTTGAGAGTTTTTTGTTGTTGGTTCAATTAAGTACCTTTTCTTATTAGTCCAGTTTTTCGTTTTAGTTCATGGCAACTTCTGACTTCTGACTTCTGATGATGATGATGATAACTCATGGCAACTTCTGACTTCTGATGATGATGATAATTTATGGCAACTTCTTACTTCTGACTTCTGATGATGATGATGATAATTCATGGAAACTTCTGACTTCTGATGATGATGATAATTCATGGCAACTTCCGACTTCTGATGATGATGATGATGATAATTTACGGCAACTTCTGACTTCTGATGATGATGATAATTTATGGCAACTTCAGACTTCTGATGATGATGATGATGATGATAATTCATGGCAACCTCTGACTTCTGATGATGATGATAATTCATGGCAACTCCTGACTTCTGATGATGATGATAATTTATGGCAACTTCAGACTTCTGATGATGATGATGATGATGATAATTCATGGCAACGTCTGACTTCTGATGATGATGATAATTTATGGCAACTTCTGACTTCTGACTTCTGATGATGATGATGATAAGTCATGGCAACTTCTGACTTCTGATGATGATGATAATTCATGGCAACTTCCGACTTCTGATGATGATGATGATGATAATTTATGGCAACTTCAGACTTCTGATGATGATGATGATGATGATGATAATTCATGGCAAGTTCTGACTTCTGATGATGATGATAATTTATGGCAACTTCTTACTTCTGACTTCTGATGATGATGATGATAACTCATGGCAACTTCTGACTTCTGATGATGATGATAATTCATGGCAACTTCTGTCTTCTGATGATGATGATGATGATGATGATAATTCATGGCAACCTCTGACTTCTGATGATGATGATAATTCATGGCAACTCCTGACTTCTGATGATGATGATAATTTATGGCAACTTCTGACTTCTGATGATTATGATGATGATGATAATTCAGGGCAACTTCTGACTTCTGATGATGATGATGATGATGATGATAATTCATGGCAAGTTCTGACTTCTGATGATGATGATAATTTATGGCAACTTCTGACTTCTGATGATTATGATGATGATGATAATTCATGGCAACTTCTGCCTCCTGATGATGATGATAATTTATTGCAACTTCTGACTTCTGATGATGATGATGGTGATAATTCATGGCAACGTCTGACTTCTGATGATGATGATAATTTATGGCAACTTCTTACTTCTGACTTCTGATGATGATGATGATAACTCATGGCAACTTCTGACTTCTGATGATGATGATAATTTATGGCAACTTCTTACTTCTGACTTCTGATGATGATGATGATAACTCATGGCAACTTCTGACTTCTGATGATGATGATGATGATGATGATAATTCATGGCAACTTCTGACTTCTGACTTCTGATGATAATTCATGGCAACTTCTGACTTCTGATGATAATGATGATGATGAAGTAGTAGTAGCAGGTGTCGGAGCTTGATACCTAACTATAACAGTTTTAGGAATGATGAACAAACAACAAGAGATTACCGAAGTCTCCACAAAACCATAACTCAAACTCAAAGTCGATAACACTAGGGGAAAATAGGAACAAAGATAGACCGACATGGAGGTCCTTGCAAAAATACAAAGAATAAGACCAGGTGTTCCAGAAGGGTTAGCGTTTTCGGCTTCAACGATGACACCCAGAAGTCGAACCCAAGCAATGGCACATCCTCACATCCAGGACTTGGGTAGTAACAACAAACTCTAATGACCATAATAAAAAGCATCGGCCTTCATATCAAGCACAGTAATAGCGTATTTCCCTATAACCCGATTGCAACACTAAAACTTGCCCACAATCTCCTTTGAAATCAAAAGCGGCTTTATTGGGATTAGGACACAAAAAGCTAGTTATTGAAGTGATTAAACCTATAGCTGTAGTTATTGAAATAAGGAAACCTATAGCTGTAGTTATTTGGAGTGTGGAAACCTATAGCTGCAGTTATTGAAGTAATGAAACATATAGCTGTGGTTAGTTGGAGTGATTAAACTATAACTGCAGTTATTGGAGTGGTTAAACTATAACTGCAGTTATTTTGAGTTATTAAAAATAACTGCAGTTATTGGAGTGATTAAACTATAACTGCAGTTATTGAAGTGATTAAACTATAGCTGCAGTTATTTGGAGTGATTAAACTATACCTGCAGTTATTTGGAGTAATTAAACCTATAGCGGCAGTTATTTGGAGTGATTAACCTATAGCTGTAGTTATTGAAATAAGGAAACCTATAGCTGGAGTTATTTGGAGTGTGGAAACCTATAGCTCCATTTATGGAAGTAATGAAACATATAGCTGTGGTTAGTTGGAGTGATTAAACCATAACTGCAGTTATTGGAGTGGTTAAACTATAACTGCAGTTATTTTTAATAACTCAAAATAACTGCAGTTATTAGAGTGATTAAACTATAACTGCAGTTATTTGGAGGGATTAAACTATAGCTGTAGTTATTTGGTGTGATTAAACCTATAACTGCAGTAATTTGGAGTGATTAAACTATAGCTGCAGTTATTTGGAGTGATTGAACTATAACTGCAGTTATTGGAGTGATTATACTATAACTGCAGTTATTTGGAGTGATTAAACATATAGCTGTAATTATTTGGCTTGATTAAACTATAGCTGCAGTTATTCGGAGTGATTAAACTACAGCTGCAGTTATTTGGAGTGATTAAACTATAACTGCAGTTATTTGGAGTGATTAAACTATAGCTGTAATTATTTGGAGTGATTAAACCTATAGCTGCAGTTATTTGGCTTGATTAAACTATAGCTGCAGTTATTTGGAGTGATTAAACTATAGCTGTAATTATTTGGAGTGATTGAACCTATAGCTGCAGTTATTTGGAGTGATTAAACTATAACTGCAGTTATTTGGAGTGATTAAACTATAGCTGAAATTATTTGGAGTGATAAAACCTATAGCTGTAATTATTTGGAGTGATTAAACTATAACTGCAGTTATTGGAGTGATGAAACATATCAAGCTTCATTCAGCCCTTCTTTATTAACCAAAAGCCCTTTGGCTTATAGGTACATATATATATATACATAAAACATTCTCTTAACATAATAAGAATAGACAGGAGAGTGACATCACAGTATACATAACACACTGTTCAATAATGTGAATACATAAACCTATAATTAATGCTTCTTAAATACCAAATATATATTTACCTAAATTGGATAGCTCTCTAACATTATTTATACTATAAGGAGTTGTATTAATTTAAAAATTGAGGGTTTTCTGTATTAGTATTTTTTAATTAATCTGTGCCTCAAATCACTATAAAATGGACAAATCAAAATAAAATGGAACACGTCTTCTGTATCTCTCAAACTACATTTGTTACAAATCCTGTTTCTACGTATGATGTGACGATGTCTTCCAATTTCTATATTTAATTTATGAGACGATATCCTAAATTAAGTTAACAAAGGAACATGGCCAAATTGAGGAAATCAGGATAAATGATTGAAATCCTAATTATTCAGTAATGGTCAAGAAATTACAACACATTTTGGTCTGGAGTATCCTTTGGCCAGGGTATTAGACAAATCCTACTCCTTTGGAAGGGATGAAGGTATTTTAATCTGAATTGGTCTGGATGATTCTTCGACCCATGGTACTTTATGTTGTATACATTTAAATGCAGGGTGTGCTCCTCCCCCCCCCCCCCCCCTTTGAGGCAGAGGCATGGGGGTAAATCTTTGAAGTGCTACACTTTAAGTCCTTGTCAAGTGATTTTGATCCATAGTCCAGAGCATTCTGAGGTCAACAGGACTCATTGTTGTGTAATGGAGCTCCCCCCCCTTTGGACAAAGAGGCAGGGCCCAATATAGAAGAAAATAAATAGGCATATATATTTAAAATGCTTTTATTGTTCAATCATGTTAAGTAGGTAATGTAGGTATGCTCTGAGAGAACTTTTACCGTTTATGTACCTAACTTAGTGACATAAGGTTGTTATTTCATGTATAGATTACCTAAGTTGATGCAGGAACGTTAAATCCTGAACTAACTCATGTTCATCATCTTATTAGGAAAATGTAGTTTGTTATATCCGGTACTGGGAAAATTGTATTTATTCACCAACCCTAATAACTCAGTTAATGTTTAATAAACACACTTTCAATATTTGATTTTCTAACAGATGAAGTAAAGAATGGTGAACTTGAAAATAAAATTAGATTAATCCATGTGAAAATGATATTTTCACCAACACACTGTTAATAATATTGTTCTTCACAAAGGTCCACATGATTCTATGTAATTTCCCAATAAAGCCATAAAACAGTCAGCTATATGATTACAAACATGATATATTCACACACAAACAACTCATAATTTCATTTATTTGTTCTCCATTGTCTCATAAAATACTCTCATAATAACACACAATAACATTCACACACAAATGTCTCGTTTCACATCAGAACTTTTGTCTTTGTCTTCTATTTGTTTTATTTCTTTCAGTCATACACTTTCTTCCTTTTTCTTTTTCTTGATTTCATCTTGTTCTGTTAAGTAATCGGCAAGGTCTTTAAGAGATTCAAATTCACTGCGACCCTGTTGGCTTTTATCCTTTTTCGGAATTACAGGCATCTTTGATTGGACCGCGGCACTGAACTCCTCCATCTGATTATACAGGAAACCAATGGCAATAAGCAGTGTCAGATTCAGAAAAAGATACAAGTGGCCAAATAATTTTTTAAAAGTAACAAGTATCTTGCTTTCTTGCAACTTTTCTCCTGATAAGTGTACCAATTGCAACCAACCACTGTTATTATGCGCTAAAATAACTCTTTTTGTAGCCAAACTGATTTCGTAAACTAAAATTTATCTTACTTACTTGAAACTTTTCTCCTGAAAAGTCTACCAACAACTGTTTATTATATATTAAAATAACTCTCAAAAGTGATTTTTTAAAGCAAAATGCATCTTGCTTTCTTGAAACAATTCCCCTGAAATGTTAATTATAAGTTAAAATAACTTGTACAAAATCACTGGATGTTATCTGAAGTTTTTCTCAGAGTTATACTAACATTTTATGATGAGAAGACAAAAGAAAACTAAAATCTGCTAGAACAAGTCCATAAAATCTTACCTATGCCTACATGGGTGTCAACCTCTGAAACCTCCAATGAAGGAGATCTCCCTCATTCCTCATTTCCAATGACAGAGAAAGTGCATGAAATGTTACTGAAACTGCGTTGCTCAATTTATCTTTCCCTTTTTATGTATCAAAGTAACTCCAAAAAGCATTCATTTAATCCAGACACGTACACCTCTTATGGTCATTACGAATATACACACACCCTCCAGCAACTAGGAAATCATTTGAAAACAGGATGTAGATTTTGAGTTTGTGTGAGTTGGACCTGAATGATGGAGTTGTGAGGGGGATTGGTAAATTTTGGTCAAAATGAGGGAGTCTCCCTCCTAATGAAGGAGTCATGATCATTAAGACGGAGGACAACCATGTGACTATATCAATCAAAGCACAGGCACTCTTTTATTATATTCAAAAAAAAAATCTTTTAATATATGTAATAAAATAAAGGGCAGTAGAAATATTGTGTAAGAATTAAAGTTTAAATTTAAATAATGTTTTATATTTCATTTCCATGTCCAAAAAAATGTTTTACTTTCATATTCATTTAAATGTTGTTAATACACATGTACAGACATTTTCCATTATATATAGAAATATTTTCTACTTTAACACATTCACCCCAGAAACTTCAAAATGAACTATTCCAACCTTTGAATTGGAAGAGTTCAAATGTGTCTTCAGGGGTGAATGAGTTAAACTTTGGACTTTTGTCTATGGTTGTTTTCTGCTTTTGGTCCAGGCAGTTGTCACTTACATTATTAACACCCAATGTTTTCCATACAGCAAATGAGATAAGTCCAACACCAGAAAACGCCAACAGTGTGCCCAAGCGAAAGGCTCTTAATGCTACAGAATACCCAGTGACTGGCTTTCCTTGGGAATGATCTAACGAACCCTGGAAAATAATTATAACATTATATTTAGAATTAATTGGTCAAAGTTAACTAGTTAAAAATGTTACATAATTTAAACTTACAGTATATTTATCCTGAAGATTAGCCCACTGTTCAAGCGAAACCACTAGATGTTGCTATACAAATAATTTGAAAATTAAAAAAAAAAATTGAAGGAATATGTTTGGGCAATTGTCAGTGTACTTAATATGTAATTATGACCAATGTCTCTCACATCTGTGTGGCAAGGTTGATGACCTATGCTGACTGCTGAATTTTAATTTGTATGCAACATCTGGAGAATTCAGGGCCGAACAATTTCACAAACTCAACACCTGGAGCTGGTAGAGCATATGTTATGGCTGGTGAACATTAAAAATTTCACTATGACAATATAGGTTGCAACTAGTAGATTTTTTAACAAGTGGCCCAAGTGCCTTAGCGGTCACCTGAATTATATCATAGGTACTGGTAGTTCAATTTTATTGTTAAGATGTCAAGATATGGAAATCAGCATGTAAACTAAGTGTAATACAATACTTGTCATGTCATCAAAGGATAAGAATTTTAAAATATTGGAAAATTTTCCCTTTGGGGCCCAACCCTAGCCCCTGGGGAAAGGGCAGGAATTCCAATATTAAAATATAATTCCCTCATCCACCAAAGATGATTCTCACCAAGTTTGAATATTATCTGCTGAAAATGGATAAAATATACCCAAAAGTGTTATTTCCCTATATAAACTACAGTAAACTTTACCCCCTCCCCAAGGAAGAACGCATAGCTCGGGGGTCCTGAAATTGACAATTTAAATAAAGCCCCTGATGATCTTTCTAAACAAAAACATATGTCTCCCCTTATTAGCCAATAGAAAAACTCCGGTATATATATATAGTGGGGCATGAGATCCGAATTTCAATCAGAGGCACGGAATCACTCGGAACTTCTCGGCCGATACGGTCATCTACGTTGGAAGGAACTGGAATCGGGGCGAGGTGTTCCGAATGGCACGGAATATCATGGTTGATAGATAAATAGTGAGGGGTATTGAACAGATTAGTTTTCCAAAACAAATATTTGCGGCGGGAACTGACGTTTCTATGACGCCAAGGAAAACGTACCGATTGGGTAAAAATTGCGTAGGCAACACCGCCATACAGTCATTCTTCTCTAATAAAGCTTCGAAAATCTTTTTCTGTTCTGGTTTCAGACGATCAATCTCAAATAACTTCAGAACTTTCGCATCATTCTCATCAATGTCCACCATATTTGTTACAACTCCGAGCGCCCTTTTGAAAGAGGGTCTCTGATTGGTCAAAATTTAATGAGTATTTATAAACATAAAGGTCAGCTGAACGTGACCCTGACCGCGGCACACTCAGATGTTCAGGAGTAGTACGAAGTTAACGAAGCCATGTAGCATATGATTTTAATCAGATTGACATTTGGACTTCAAAAAAACTTGCAAGGAAGCAAAATATACATTTTACATGTACTATGATGTGAGTCTTGTTTCCTTCCACTTCCATATTTGCTGGGCTAACAGAAATGTAAATACCGGTGCAATACTCATTTGTTAGCTTTGATTTGTTTTATTTCACCTTAATGACCTTTAACCTAGTGACCCTGATCTTTGGTCAGTTGACTCATTCTTCAATTCCAACCAAATTTGCTTCATAATATCATAACAAAATGTTCATCAGTGAAAAATACAGAACTTGACCTTGAACCTTTGGAACCCATAACCTTGACCTTTGGTCAGTTTGCTCCGTGTTAAGTTCTGAACAACTTTGCTTCATAATAACATACAAAAAAATGTTCATCAGTAAAAAGATACAATATCTTATTTTGAAATTGACCCAGTGACCTTTACCTTAAGTCAGTTGACTCCTTGTTAAGTTCTGAACAACTTTGCTTCATTATGTCATAACATAATGTTAATCAGTGAAAAGATACAAAATTTGACCTTGACCTTTGACCAAGTGACCTTGACCTTTGGTCAATTGACTTCTTGTTTAATTCTGACCAACTTTACTTCAAAGTGTCATAACAAAATGTTCCCCTGTGAAAAGATACTAAATTTGACCTTAACCTTTGACCCAGTGACCTTGAACTTAAGTCAGTTGACTCTTTGTTAAATTCCAATAACTTTGCTTCGTAATGTCATAACAAAATGTTCATCAGGGAAAAGATACAAAATTTGACCTTGACCTTTGACCCAGTGACCTTGACCTTAGGTCAGTTGATACCTTGTTTGATTGTGACGGACGGATGGATGAATTAGTATAGGGCACCCGCATCTTCGATGTGGGGCCCTCATAACATGGAAGTTATCCCGTGGACAAACTTCGGTATTCAAATTAAACAATTGGCCATAACTCTGTATATAGTGGGGCACGAGACCTAGTTCTAGTGCTCTGCAAACCTTCTGTGGGTAATGCAGGTATACTTCAAGTTTGATTAAGTTATCTTTAACGGTTTGGAATTTACGGGCCGGACAAGAATTTACAGAAAATGTGCACTTATTTGACCTTTGACCTTGAGGTGACCTAATTCCAGTGCACTGCACACCTTCTGTGGGTGATGCATGCATACCTAAAGTTTTATCAAGATATCTTTAAAGTTTAAAAGTTATAGCCCGGACGAGTCAGATTAGAAGAAGAAGAAGAAGAAGAAGAAGAAGAAGAAGAAGAAGAAGAAGAAGAAGAAGAAGAAGTAGAAGAAGAAGAAGAAGAAGTAGAAGAAGAAGAAGGGGAAGAAGAAGAAGAAGAACCAGTGCTAATACAATATGTCTCCCTTCATTCGAAGGGGAGACATAATAAAGCCTCTGATGAACTTTCCATCCATGCACAGAAATTGACTGATAGGACCTCTGAGTCGAAGATTTTTAAAATATTGGTAAATATTCCCGTTGGGGCCCCTCCCAGGGGTTGGGGTAGGAATCCGATTTTTACAATTGTGTAGCCTCATCTACCAAGAATGATTCTGACCAAAAAAAAAATCCATCCACTGGTTCTTGAGAAGTAGTTGAAAATGTAAAAAGTTTACGTACGGTATTAAGAAAGTGATAAGAATATAGGTCACTTGAGCAAAGCTCAGGTGATCATGACCTAAAAATCTACCTGAGGGCTAATACTACAAATATGAACAGATGCATACCTTGGATATATATCCAGTGTTTTTATAATCCTTTGTAATGTCTAGCCAGAGGTATATTTACATATATAGATAATGTCAACCATCCTTTCCTATAAAGACAATATATAGATGAAGATAGTTGGTCTACGATGTGTAACTTGATAAGTTAATATGCAGTACAAAAATACTATATAGTCAAAATTTACCAACCTTTTGATAATAAACAGGATCTTGTTTTTTAGTCAAAGCCAAACCTCCAATTAATCCAAGAGCAGTGGACACGACTGTGGTCAATGTGAGGAACACCACACCTATATAACATACGTAACAAACATCAAAATGCCTCTGTGTACATGTATATCAAATCCAAACTACAAAAAAAACAAGAGGCCCAATGGGCCTGAATCGCTCACCTGGTATTAATCTCACACTTGTAATCTTAAAAGTTGACTAATATACAGCTACAGGCAAAATATCTGTGTTTGATTCATTAGAATCTATTAAATGAATATTCAGAAAAAGTCATTAAAGATTTAAACATATTTGATCCTTGTGACCTTGAATATGAGTGAAGGTCATTCATTTGAACGAACTTGGTTGGTCTTCATCCCAGCATGCTATTGGCTAAATATCATCATCCTAGGCCTTTTGTTATTGGAAAGAAGTTGTTTAAAGGTTTTAAACATATTTAACCCCTGTTACCTTGATTATAAGTAAGGTCATTCGTTTGAACAACCTTGGTAGCCCTTCATACCAGCATCTAGCTGGCAACATATCATAACCCTAGGCCTCTTGGTAATTCAGAAGAAGTCGTTTAAAGGTTTTAAACATATTTGACCCTTGCTACCATGGATATATGTCAAGGTCATTCGTTAGAACAAAATTGGTTGCCCTTTAACTCAGCATGTTACTAGCCAAATACCATCATCCTCACCTCTTGGGTATTGAGAAGAAGTTGTTTAAAGGTTTAAAACATATCATATCCTTGTGACCTTGAAATTATTGAAGGTCATTTGCTTGAACAAACTTGGTAGCCCTTTATCTTAGCATGCTATTGGCCAAATATCATTATCCTAGGCCTCTTGGGCATGCAGAAGAAGTTGTTTAAAAGGTTTTAAACATATTTGACCTGTGACCTTGAAAATAGATTGAGACCATTTGTTTGAACAAACTTGGTAGCATTTCATCCCAGCATGTTACTGACAAACTATCATTATCCTAGGTCTTTTGGTTATTGAGAAGTGGTTTAAAGTTTTTTAATATGTTTGACCCCTGTGACCTTGAAAATGGCTGAAAGTCATTCGTTTGAACAAACTTGGTAGCCCTTCATCTGAGCATGATACTGGTCAAATATCATTATCCTAGACCTCTTGGGTATTCAGGAGAAGTTGTTAAAAAGGTTTTAAACATATTTGACCCCGGTGGCCTTGAAACTGAGTGAAGGTCACTTGTTTGAACAAACTTGGTAAATGAGAATTAACATCTTCCTTTCTTTCAAATTGTTTAATCTAAAGGATGACTGCTACCTGCAACGTACAAACATAATGATTAGTTATCTCCTCCCGCAAGGGCAAGTTTTATATAGACATAGAAAACTGATAAGCCAGGTCTCTTGAGTGATAACTTGAATAAGTCATCTGTCCTTAATGACTGATCACAAAAACAAGCACAACGATAGTCTCTCAAAAAAGATCCAGACACACAAAAGTCACTTTAGTTTTTCAGGCCCCCTAAGTCCAGGCTCTTCCTCCATGGTGCAATGACGAAGTCTTCGTGGTTGTTCCAATTCCTTTACTCTGGCCTTATTATGAGGTTCGAGACGGGCAAGAGTGTGTGGTACACGAACCACCACAGACTCAACAAGATGGTCTGTCATATCAAAGTTCAATCGATGTGGCGTTGACAGAGACTCGATCCTGTGTAGGGGTTGTAGCTTGTGGCCTGATCCTGTTAGATGGTGTCTGTTGCACATGTGGTGATGGTGGGGGAAGTGGAGCCTGACGAGCCTGAGGTGACAACGGTATTGTAGGTTGGTCCAGCTGTGGCACTACGGCTGGAGCAGGGATTTTGTCACCGGAAGGCGCTTCCGGAGGCGGCCGTTCATCTGACGTAGGCAGTGATACTGCAGCCCAAGAGGTAGTGCCATGAAAGGGAGAGAACTTACGAAGGTGCTGGCAATTGCGGAGAGTCTCTCTGCCAGTGCCATCCACACGGATGACATACTGGTGAAACTGACGCACTTATGATTAGTTACTTGGTAGCCATTCATCCCAGCATGTTACTGGCCAAATATCATCATCCAAGGCAAAAGGCCTTGTTACTTGTCAAATATCATCACCCTAGGAATCTTGATTATTCAGAAGAAGATTTTAACACATTTGACCCCTGTGACCTTGAAAATGGATGAAGGTCATTCATTTAAACAAACCCCATAGCCCTTGATTCCAGCATGCTACTGGCCAAATATCATCATCCTAGGCCTTTTGGTTACTGAAAAGAAGTTGTTTAAAGTAAAAAGTTGACGCCAGACAGGCGACTGACAACGGAAGGACAGACAACGTACGCCGCACCATGGCATAAGCTCACTTGCCCTTCAGGCAGGTGAGCTAATGACCCCTTAATATACATCACCATTTTCTATATACAGGTCCTCCTAACATCAAGTGACCTTATACAGTTCCTCATAACAGGTGACCTCTATATACAGGTCCTCATTGGAGCAAGTGAACTCTATATACAGGTCCCCATTACAGCAGGTGACCTATATATACAGGTCCTCATTACAGCAGGTGACCTCTATATGCAGGTCTGTATAGCAACAGGTGACCTCTATATAAATAGGTCATTATAGCAACAGGTGACGTCTATATATGGGTCTTTATAACAGGTGACCTCTATATACAGGTCATTATAGCAACAGGTGATCTCGACATACAGGTCCACATTACAGCAGGTGACATCTATATACAAGTCCACATTACAGCAGGAGACCTCTATATACAGGTCCACATTACAGCAGATGGCCTCTATATACTGGTCATTATAGCAACAGGTGACCTCTATATACAGATCATTATAGCAACAGGTGGCCTATATATATGGGTCTTCATTACAGCAGATGACCTCTATATACAGGTTCTTATAGCAACAGGTGACCTCTATATACAGGTCTTCATAACAGGTGACCACTATAAATAATTTCAGGACCTTATAGAAACAGGTGACCTCTATATACAAGCCTTATAACAGGTGACCTCTATATATATACAGGTCCTTATAGAAGCAGGTGACCTCTCTATACTTGTCCTTATAGAAATAGGTGACCTCTGTATACAGGTCCTCATGATCATAAGATGACTTCATCTAATGTATGAATCTTCAATCAGATCTCAATAGCATTTTATATGATTTCAGGATCATAGTTTCAATCCATTTAAATAGTCTATATAAGAATTTAAGAAGGACTTGTTTGTAAGTTGGTTTATTATCCCCCCCCCCCATCAGAATAACATTTGGAATATAAAAGGAAATTGTGTGTAATGAAACAGCTAGATGATCATGACCTCTCACAGGTCCTCATAGTAAACTGATGAAGTCTATAGACAGGTCGCCATAACAGATGACATCTATACAGATCACCATAAAACAGATGACATCTATGTACAGGCACGGACTTTGATAATCTAATCCTTGGTATACGTACAGGTCACCATAAAAAGTGATGAACTCGATAGATAGGTCACCATAACAAGTTAAAAACAAATAACTTTTGTTGTATATACAGGTCACCATAACAACATACGACCTAAATGAACACGTCACCATAAAAAATGATGAATCATAAAGACATGTCACCATAACAGATGACCTCGGCTCTACCGGGGGGGTGGGGCAAAATTAGGTCCTATATGGGCTTTGTGTTTATCGTATTTTGTATATATTTGAGATTGTTGTTTAAATCATATAATCTGATTTTGGTTTCTGGAGCACCTACCAGGCGCAACAGAATCTCCTTTTTTCGTTGGTTTAGATTCCGTTTGCACACATTGGATTTCAGAAGCATGATCTCCACTGGAGGTCGCCATGTTTGTTTACAATGTCAAGGTCTAAACGAATGTCACAATTAATTTATCTAAAACACCAAAAATATGTAATGCTATATTTTTAAAACATTTTTCGTGATAAATTTTCTATAAATGAATCCTAACACGTTTCGCTCCTTATCCTTTTTTTCTTGATTGCCTAATGTTTATACGCGCATGCGTTGTGCATTTATGATCAACAACAAATGGTGGTTTCCTGTACGACAGAATGGATATCATTATGAAGAAATTTATCCCGAGATTGTGTATATGTGTTGATTTTCAACGGACAGCATACTGAATTTTGCTTCTTTAGAAGTTGATTTATGTATCTGTATGATGTTGAGATTATCAAATTTAACTTGAAACGGTACAACGGGTAATGAAAGATCCTACGTATGTGGCTGTCTCGATGAATTCTCACGATATAACACATAAAAACATGAACCTGTCCAAAACCCTCCGGAATTGGGAGGTGTTCCCAGGGAAGAACAAGTTCTGCTGTAATGGCAGACTTATGATGGCCAGACAGACTGGCATTTTTTACTTCACGTGCGCTTTAATCATTGTGACATGCGGCCTATTTTTCGGTTTCGAGTAAGTAAACAATGATGTGTCAGTTACTGTACTGAGTACAGTATCTTTTTATTACGAAATATTGTCGCACGTTATCTAAGTATCATTCGTATTATTCTTTAGCAGTTGCTGTTGCAACTGGCCGGAATTCATTTACCAGTCTTATGAACGATCTTCATATATAGAATACACAAAAATTTGTACAATATTCTTTCTTGTTTTAACGTTAGCCTTAAGAAATGTCAAGAATTGTTTTCTGTAATACATAAAATATACGCAAAATCCGTTTTCTTATCTACAGATTTTGAACGAAGTTTCAAAATCAATTGGTTTTCCTTTCCCTCAGTTACGTATACGTACAACCCCATTTTTTTTATAGCCAATTCAGTGGCTTTGTTTTATTTAGTGTTTTATAATTGTGTCAATTAACATCTGGAATCATCCGGTATGCACACTACTGAACTGCCCATAATTGACACATACTCCTCAGATTTTTAATTTGTTGAATTTCCTTCACCACAGATATCTCTTTCAGCTATTTTTTAGTTGATGTTAACCTTTTTGACACTGATACAAGATTAAGTGTCCCATCCCCTTATACGTCTTAACCTATAATCCTGTGGGGCTGTAATGTGATGTAATGTACAAAGTGTTTATGATGTATCAGTTATTGTTAAAATGATAATCATTTCATATTAACATTTTCATGTGTGATCAGGTTATTCACCGATTCTTCAAAGCTTACTCATGATCAGTTCTAGGGCAAGTCGGTGTTTCATTTTTGGCTGGGAAAATAATTTTTGCCAACTTTTAGCTGTCAGTATTATTTCTTCTTAATTTTTTTATGTATTGCTTTAATTAAAGACTCCATTCTTATCACAACTTTATATTATTTTTCTACTGGGTTCGATATTTTTTGCAACATCCAGAGACTGAGTCATATGAATACAGCTGCGCATCCTTTGGGAACACAGCAAAAGACACTACGCAATGTGATGAGGTCACCAGTATTTATGCAAAAAAAATGTATAACATTTGTTGTCCTTGTGTCAAAGCATACAAAATGAAAATGTGTAATTAATAATGTAGTAACATTATACAGAGCGAGATTCTCAAATTTTCTTTGCACAAGTAATTTTTTAGTAATTAAACCTTATAATTAAAGTTACTTTCTTTTTATAAATATCATTGATAAAATTCCAGACTTGCTCATGCATCCTTTCAACCTTTATTAGCAGTTCTAACATTTTAAAGTCTATTATAGAAATAATTTTACCTTTAAACTACAACCCTACAAGTGTCCTCTATACAAGTCTCACTGCACTTAACAGTTGTCCTCTATATACAGGTACATGTATATACAGGTACATTTTGTATATCAATACAGGCATCCTCTGTACATGCGGATAGGTATCATTCAAAGTGATGTTTAAATACAGGTGTCCTCTACACACAGGTGTCAATACAGGTGTCATCTAATGATCTATATACACTATATCAATACAGGCATCCTCTGTCGGTAGGTATCATTCAAAGTGTTGTTTAAATATAGGTGTCCTTTACATACAGGTGTCATCTATATACAGGTGTCATCTATATACAGGTATATCAATACAGGCATCCTCTGTTTTGATAAAAGCATTCTTTGTATAAAGCGATAGGTAAAAATCCAGGTGTCCTCTTAATACAGGTGTCAATATACTAGTGTCCTCACAGGTATTGATACAGGCATTCAAGGTGTCCTCTAAATACAGGTGTCAATTCAGGCATCCTTTGTGTACAGGTGTCACTACAGGTGTCAATACATGTGTCTTCTAAATACACTAGATAGCAATAAATGTGTCTTCTAAATACACTAGATAGCAATACATTTGTCTTCTAAATACACTAGATATAAATACATGTGTCTTCTAAATACACTAGATATCAAAACATGTGTCTTCTAAATACACTAGATATAAATACATTTGTCCTCTATATTCAAACTGGAGGTGTCCACCATGTACAGGTATAACTTCATTTGTCCTCTTTATACAGGTATCAATACAGGTGTTCTCTTTATACAGATATCAGCAAAGGTTTCTACTATAAACAGGGATCTTCTACACACTTGTATCACTACAACTGTTCTCTATATATAAATACAAGTCACAACAACAAAGGTGTCATCTATACTCCCCTAATCAGAGAGTTATTCCCCTTTGTTTAAAAACATTGGCACACTACTCTTCCATGGCCAGTTATCACTACAACACTATGCATGTCCTTTATATGAATCATCCATGTATCTATTTAAAGTTACCACACTATATAGGTAACTGCACATAAAACATTACAGAAGATATTTTTCCATCAGTATATGTCTGGTAATTGAATTCATACCAATACATGGACTTTCTGTCATTTCTATTGCACTGCAGTCACTCAATATGTATCTAAACTAATCTAAACTGACCTCTGATGTGTGCTCTGTATTTTAAAAATATTGTTGTTGTTTTGATCTGACATACAAAAATGTACATATATGCATACCCTGCCAGTACACTTATGTTATTTTTTTGTACCTAGTGACTTACCTAGTGACTATGGCTAGTATCCTAACCATAGATGAAGCTTTCAGTATATATATACTTCTGTATAGAACAATCGTGATCGTTTCGGTAAATCAATTTATTCCAACAATACATTATACCTGTCAGTATATTTATACATTTTGTCTGTTCCAGTTGCCCTTACCTGGCAGTCAATGTCACCCCAGCCATACCTGCGTTTGGGGCAGCATTGTTCATTTTTGTGATGGCCACCTTATTCCGCACCAGCTTCAGTGACCCTGGGGTCATCCCCAGGGCAACCCCAGATGAGGCTGCAGACACAGAGAAACAAATTGGTAAGTTTACATGGGTGTTTCATGCACACGATTTCATATTTCAACTTCCTCACCTGTTTTTAGCTCACCTGGTCCGAAGGACCAAGGTAAGCTTATGCCATACTGTGGCGTCCGTCGTCCGTACGTCAACAATTTCTTCAAACGACTTCTTCTTGTTAACCACTGATTGGAATTTAACTAAATTTGACTGGAAGCATCCCTAGGTGGTGGGGATTCAAAATTGTACAAATGGTAGGGTCAACCTCCCAGGGGGCTGAGGGGCGGGGTCAAAAGGGGACAATTTGGCTATATTGCTATAAACGACTTCTTCTGTAGAACTATGCAATGGATATCAATCATATTTGGTCAGAAGCATTCATGGGTGGCGGGGAATACATTTTTAGCTCACCTGGCACGAAGTGCCAAGTGAGCTTATGCCGTGGTGCGGCGTCCGTCGTCCGTCCGTCCGTCCGTCCGTCGTCCAGCGTCTATATTATACTTTAAACGACTTCTTCTTAATAACCGAAAGGCCTAGGGTGATGATATTTGGCCAGAAGCAAACTGGGATGAAGGGCTACCAAGTTTGTTCAAATAAATGACCTTCATCTATTTTCAAGGTCACAGGGGTCAAATATGTTAAAAACTTTAAACAACTTCTTCTCAATAACCAAA